TCGCAGACACCATGATGTAGACAACCTGTAGAACATGTTCTAGGCCGACGGTTGATAGCCGGCTCGAGCGCCGCGCCCGCGTCCAACGCAGCGATTTTTCGCCTCAAACCCTCTGCAAACATGCTGAACACAGGTTCCGGGTTTAAGCTTCAGTACCGCGAAGCGGCGCGGACGGCGCGGACGGCGCGGACGGCGCGGACGGCGCGGACGGCGCGGACGGCGCGGACGGCGCGGACGGCGTGGGGCGGGCCTTAATTTTTTTTACTTTCTAAGCGCGGTAGTTTCTAAGGTCTTCCCAGGCTCCGAAGAGGGCATTCGAAGAGTCATTCATTGTCGTCACTGGGCGCCAAGACCAGTCCGCTCCGAGGAGACTTGCCATGTAAAGCGGCTTAGGGTGGCGTAGCATGGCACGATGTATCTCCTTCATTGCCCAGGCTGTAGCTTTGAGCCCGCGGCTAACCTCCTCAAGCGACTCGCCCTTCGATAGCAGGAATGAAGAGATGAGGTGTGTGTGTTGTTGTCCGTCTATTGTGCCAACAAAGACAAGCATTTTGCCTTGGTAATTGAGTCTGCCAGTGCCATCGACACTGGCCCAAGAAGGTCCACAGAGAAGATCTTGCATCATGGCCTTGCTCAGCATCCGTATGGTGCTCGTAACGAAAAAGTTCTTCAGCTCTGGGCCACTTACATTGCGATCGAATACGATTGGAACATCCCATTGCCCATCTTCCACCATCTTTCTGAGACGGACGGTATCCACAGCCCTGACACTCAATTGCGCTTCGAGCTGACCATAACTGCCCTTCCAAAAATCCTTCCATCGCTTCGATCTAGCCCACAGCATGTACCGCTTGATAACCTTCTTGATCTCATCTCCGTGTTGGTCCATGGCACCCAGAACACCAAGGGGTTGGAGAAGTGCAATTGCCTTGACCATAGACCACTTTGGCGCTTCGATGAGAGGTCCCAGGGCCTGTTTGATCGGCGGAGGAAGGCCTCGTGTTGTCTCCATGATGACTTCGATTTCCGGATGGACATGGTGCTGCCCGGTCTTAATCTCGCAGTGGAGTCCATCGTTGAACCAGTAAATTCGAGCCTTGGCTGGGCAGTATGGTGTATACTTACAGGCCTTGCACTTCACTTCGGTATATGACTTCCAGGTCTCATGTTCTTCCACGAGCACACCATGTTTGAGTGGAGTCCAGCCCATGCCATCAACCATGAAGTGGTCATCGAGCACCTTTTTCACCTCGGGATCCTCGAGTGAGGTGGCCTTCAGGATCGCGATGACCGGTGCCGCGAGCCAGTCCGTGCGGCTGCGGCGGCCTTCGGTCTTAGGCTCCGGCGCCGCCGGCAAGGGGTCCAGCGTGTAGTCGGACGGTGGGATGTTCGTCGTGTTCGGGCACGTGAAGAGCGCGCCGTCGGCCTCGGGCTCCTCTGCTGGGCCCTCCTCGGCACCCTGTTCCTCGGTCTCGTCCTCCTCGACCTCGTCGTCCTCCTCGTCCGAGCTGCTGTCCTCGAACTCGGCGAGCAGCTCCTCCTGCGCGGCCGCGGGCAGCGTCGCGAGCGGCGACGTGGCCTTGAACGGCGACTCGCCCGCCGCGCGCGGCCGCTTCGTCGGCGTCGTCTGCGGCGCCGCCGGCGGCGCGCGCGCGAGCTGGTCACACCAGCGCGCGCACGCCCAGCGATACCAGTCCATGGCCTTGGGGCTGCCCGAGATCCTGGGAGCGAGCGCTCTCCGCCGAAATCCTACGAGCGGACTTTGTAAATCCTGCAACAATATTATTCCCGCTCTCCGGGGCTCCTGCGGCGCGAGCCTCTGGAGACGCTCGCAGCGTCGTCGACCGTCGCACCAAACCAACCCAAGCATCCACGAAGAAATGGTCCTCAGCGCGTCGCAGTGGTCCGCGCGGGACCTGGGCCTCGCGGGCGCCATGGTCGCGGTCCAGGCCGTGGGCGTGCGCTACGGCCTCGGCGTGCCGAGCGGCCTCCTCCTGCTGAGCGTCGCGCCCTTCGTCTTCGGCCGGCGGAAGTGGGACGGCGAGGTGTCGGCCTACAGCGTCTGCAACGACGACGGCCGGCGCATCGCGGGCACCTTCACCGCGGAGCAGTTCGACGCGCAGCTCCGCGGCGGCCCGCGGCCCGACGACGCGCCGGCCGCGGCGACGATGCCGCGCGCGCCGGAGCCGGACCGGCCCGCCGCGCCCGCGGACCCCGCGGCGCGGCGGCGCCTCGCACTCGAGGCCGCGGAGCGGCGCGCGAAGGCCGCGGCGGCCGCGTCGTAAACATAGAGTAGACTACGCGACCTTCTCGCGGGGGCGGAGGCGCCGCGCGCGCGCGTCGAGGAGCGCGACGGCCGCCGCCGCGGCGACGAGGACGAGCGACGCCGCCGCGAGCGTCGCCGGGAAGGTCGCCCAGCCGCGCGGCGCGCGCTTGAGCACGTGGACGAGCGGCAGCCCCGCGAGCGCGCCGCCGCACTCCGCGAGGCAGTTCGTCACGGCGTCGGCCTTGCCCGAGTCCGACGGCGCCACGTGCTCGCGCACCGTGAGCTGGAGCGCGACGCGCGCGCCGTAGACCGCGGCGCCGCCGAGCGCGGCGACGGCGCGCAGGCTCGCCGGCGCGCCGAGGTCCGCGGTCCCCAGCGCGACGGCGAAGGCGAGCACGGCGCCCGCGCCCGCCGCGGCCACGGCGGCCGGCGTCGCGCGGTCCGCGAGGGGCCCGCCGAGCGACGCGCCCGCGATGCCGCCCGCCTGCCAGAAGAAGAGGAACGACGCGGTCGCGTCGAGGCCGTGCGCCTCCTTGAGGAAGACGCCGACCTACCGATGTTTGTTTGGTGAAAAGGCGCTCGCGAAACCGTCGAGACGCCGCGTTCCGACCCAGCCCTCGACGGCCATGCGCACGAAGTACATGGACGCGTACTCCGCGGCGACGCCCCAGACGACGGGCTCGCGCACGACGGCGCCGAAGCCCCGCTTCGCGTCGCGCGCCGGCTTGAGCGCGGGCGCCGCGGCGAGGTCGGCCGCGAAGCGCGCGTGGACGCCGCCGCAGAGCGCGATGACGGCGCCGACGGAGACCACGAGGCGCCGCCAGCCCAGCGCCGCCGCGCCGCGCTCGACGACGAAGGGCACGACGCACGACACGACGTTCACCGTCGCGTTGATGCAGGAGAAGGCGCCGCCGCGGCGCTCCGGCGGGAACTTGTTCGTGACGACGCGCGCGACGGCCGCCGCGTGCGGCGCCTGCACGGCCATGATCGCCGGGAAGAGCACGAGGAGCTCGAGGCGGCTCCGCGCGACGGCCAGCGCGGCGAAGCACGCGCCCGTGAGCAGCTCGGAACCGACGAGGAGCGCGGACGCGGGCGCGACGTCGCTGCTCACTTGGAAGAGCGGTTTCGCGAGCATGTAGGTGACCTGGCACGCGGAGATGAGCAGCCCCGCGTCCTCGAGGCGCAGGCCGTGCTCCTTCGTCAGCGTCGGCAGGAGCAGCGTCAGCGTCGGCCGGAACGCGAGCATGGACGCGGCGTAGCCCAGGCAGAGCAGGCCGAGCACCTTGGGCTGCCCGCTGCGCTCCGTCGGCGGCAGGCACATGGTGAGTGACTTCAACGAGGCGCACTCCTCGCTGGCAGACCGCACCCAAGGCTCCAATAGCTGCCCGGGCGGGCGGCCTCGCCGGGCCCGGCGCCGCTGGCGAATCCCAAGGGCTGACCTGCCCACCTTCTGTCGAGATTCAGCAGGTGCGCATGGCTGCATCGTGTTGGTTGATAATCAACTTGAGATTCAACTTCTCGGGCTTCGAGCATGGTCATCGCCTGCGGTTAGGAGCAGCCAGCAATTCCATGGAAGCCACGATCCGCGGCGCCCTCGGCGCGCTGGAGGACGTCGACGACGACGTCGTCGAGTACCTGTCGTCGCTGCTCGCGGACGGCGGCAACGAGGCGGACCACGGCGAGGCCGTGCGCGAGATGCTCGACTCGGCGACAGACTGCGGCGAGGCCGTCGCCGACGCCTGCGCGCTCGAGCTCTTCGCGGCGCTCGGCGGCGCCGCGGCCGCGGACGACGACGGGGCGGACGACGTGGGCGAGTGCACCGCGAAGTTGGAAAAGACGGTCACGATGGCCGACGGCCTCGAGGAGCTCAGGAAGCAGGCCAAGACCTTCGACCAGTTGGAGACGCAGGAGCTGGGATTGAAGAGCCTGCGGGCCCAGCGCAAGGAGCGGCAGCGCGACGAGCGGCGGCGAGAGGAGGCCGCGGCGCTGGAGCGGTCCGTGACCTACGAGCTCGAGCGCGCGACCGCCAAGACGCTGGACGACGACGGCGACGACGACGACGACGACGGCGGCGCCCAGGGCGATTTGCCGCTGGACTGCCAGCTGCGGAACTTCGACGTCGGCAACAAGCGCGGCGCGGGCGACGTGCTGACGGGGTGCTACGTGACGCTCAGCGCGGGCCGGCGCTACGGCCTCCTGGGCCGCAACGGCTGCGGCAAGACCACGTTCCTCGAGTGGCTCGCCGGGCGGCCGCGCGACGGCAACTCCAAGGGCTCGAAGCCCCTCGTGCCCGACCGCGTGTCGCTGCTGCTCGTGAAGCAGGAGATCGTCGGCTCCGAGTGCTCCGCGGTGGAGACCGTCGTCCGCTCCGACGCGCGGCGCGAGGGCCTGAAGCGGGCCATCGCGGAGCTCGAGAAGCCGGCGCACGCGAAGCTCGCGTCGTCGCTGGACGCGCTCGCGCGGTGCTACGAGCAGCTCGCGCGGCGCGACGAGCTCCGGGGCGCGCCGGGCCCGCGCGCGCGCAAGGTGCTCCACGGCCTCGGCTTCGACGACGCGAAGATGGACCGCCCCACGGGCGAGCTCTCGGGGGGCTGGCGCATGCGCGTGAGCCTCGCCTGCGCGCTCTTCGCGTCGCCGTCGCTCCTCCTATTGGACGAGCCGACGAACCACCTCGACCTCGAGGCGACGATGTGGCTCGAGCGATACCTCACGAAGGAGTTCCGGGGCACGCTCGTCGTCGTGAGCCACGACCGGAGCTTCCTGAACACGATCGTCTCCGACGTGCTGGCCTTCGACAAGCAGAAGATCAAGCAGTACCGCGGCGACGTGGCGAACTTCGAGGCCGTGCGCGAGGAGGACCGCGCGCGGCAGCAGCGGCAGCGCGAGGTCCAGGAGAAGAAGCGCGAGGGCCTGCAGAAGTACATCGACGAGCACGCCAAGTCGGGCGAGAACGGGCCCAAGGCCGCGGCGCAGCGCAAGTCGAAGATGAAGAAGATGAACCGCCTCGGCGTCGAGGCCGCGGGCGAGGGCAGGAAGTACAAGCTGTCCTACGACGCGCCGGCGGAGGAAGTCGACGACGTCGACGAGGAGGAGGCCGTCGTCCTCGAGTTCCCGGACCCGGGCCCCTTCGACCGCGCGATCGTCCGATGCCAGCGCGCGTCCTTCTCCTACGACGCGCCGCCGGACGCGCCGCCGCCGCCGCCGGGCGGGCGGACGCACCTGCTCGCGGACGTCGACCTGTCCGTGGACGCGAAATCGCGGATCTGTTTGCTGGGCCGCAACGGGTCGGGCAAGTCGACGCTCATCAAGCTGCTCGTCGGCGACCTCATGCCCTGCGACGGCGACGTGACCATCGAGCCGGGCGCGAAGATCGAGTTCCTCGCGCAGCACCAGCTCGAGCAGCTCGACCCCTTTGGCACTCCGCTCTCGGAGCTCCGGGAGCGGTACCCGGGCGACGGCTCGAACCAGCACGAGCTCGTGCTCCGGGGCCACCTCGCCAAGTTCGGCCTCGGCGGCGACCGCTTCCCGCACCAGAAGATCCACACCTTATCGGGGGGGCAGAAGTGCCGCGTCTGCCTCGCGGCGGCGATGTACCGGCGGCCGCACCTGCTCGTGCTCGACGAGCCGACGAACCACCTCGACATGGAGACGACGGACGCGCTCATCGACGCGATCAAGACCTTCGGCGGGGGCGTCGTCGTCGTCTCCCACGACGCCCACCTGTGCTCGTCGGTCTGCGACCAGCTCTGGGTCGTCCAGGACGGCGCCGTCGCGCGCTACGGCGGCACGTTCAAGGACTACAAGCGCGAGGTCGTCCAGGGGAAGCGGTGATGTTACCTTAATACGGTATTCCTAGCACATCATGTCCCAGTCGTAGAGCGCGTAGAAGTGGTCGCTCCAGGGCCACCGCTCCGTGCGGAGCGTCGAGTCCGGCGCGTAGTAGGACATGGCGACGGAGTCGTCCTCGGAGTTGTAGCGGAAGATGCGGCGGCCCCGGTACTCGTTGTGGAGCTTGCCCTGGTCCGTGCCCTCGAGCCACTCGAGCATCTGCGACCGCACCGTGTCGCCGACGGCGCACTCTTCGTCGCCGACGCAGACCGTCGTCAGCTCCGGCAGGTTGCATTCGAAGGACGCCTTGTCCGCCGGGCGGAGCGACGAGAAGGCCTCGGCGGCGAGGTCGTCGCCCCAGCGCAGGTCCGATGCCATGGGGCCGAGCTGGTAGGGGGCGAAGCCGAGAACTGTAGCGGATCTTGCGAAGCTGTTGGCCTCGGCGCGCGGCGTGAAGGCCGCCGCGCGCGATGCGGCGAAGATGAGGAGCGATGCGGCCGCGTTGCGCATTATTGGCGGCGCGTAGCGCGTCGGTCAGAGGTGGCTCAAGCCTGTTGCAACTCGACGCTGCTGCCGATAATCGGAGCCTTCTCGACAGCAGCTTGTGCAACTTCGAGTGCTCCTCCGGCCTTTTCGAGTTTTCGAGCCTTTTTCGCCGAATCGCCGCGCGTGGCGCCGGACGTGCTGCCGGCACTTTGATCACCAAACCTGTTCAGCGTCGCGCGCACGGCGCCGCGACGTGCCAGCGCAGCGTGTCAAAAGCCGGAACGCGACGCGCGACGCGCCGGCCGCGCCGCCGGCGCGAGCCCAAGGCCGTGGCCGCCACGCGCCGCGCCCAATCGGGACGTAGCGGCCAGAACCACGCGACAGCACGCAACCCTGAACGCGCACCGCGGGTCTCGTGCGACCCAACCGGCCGCTCCCGCCCCCATGTAGGTTGAAGTTCAAGGTGAAGCATCGTAGTGGCAATTCCGCAATGGCTGCGGCGGCCTTCGGTCGCGCGCTGCGGCGGCATCATCACCCGGCCGTCCGCCGCCATGCGCTCCTCTCGACGGCGACGACGCAGCCGCCGGACGCCAAAAGCCGCGAGCGCTGGCTGCGCCTGGTCCCCTCGTGTGTGCTCATGAATTGCGCGGGCAGCGTCTTCGCGACGGGCCCCATCCTCACGCCGGAGCTCACGCGGCTCTTCGGCGCCGTCGCGCCGGCGTCGGGCGACTGGGCGCTGGCGTCGCTGCTGCCCATGCAGTCGGCCTTCGCCGTCGGCTCCGCGGGCGTGCTCTTCGCGCTCGGCGGCGCCATGGACCGCGCGGGCCCCAAAAAGTCGTGCCTGGGCGCCGCGGCGGCGGGCGCCGCGGGCACGGCCGTCTACTGCGCGGGGCTCGAGGCGCACTCGCTGCCGCTGCTGTACGCGTCCTACGCCGCGCTCTCGGGCTCCGCGTTCGGCCTCGTCTACGGCTCGGTGGTGCCGACGGTCCAAAAGTGGTTCCCGGACCGCAAGGGCGTCGCGTCGTCCGTCTGCGCCGCCGCCTTCGGCACGGGCGCCTTCGTCTGGGCGCCCATCTACACCACATTGCTGGAGGCGTTCCGGTCCGCGCCCGCGGCCGCCTACGACGCGGCGACGAAGACCGTCGACGGCGTGCGCTACGCCGAGGTCGCCCCCGGCGACTGGCGCGAGGCCGTGCTCGCCACGGCCGCGGACCTCGCCGCCGCGGGCCAGCCGGCCCTGGAGCCGGGGCTCTTCCTCGTGGGCTCGGGGAACACGGGCGTCGTCGAGGCCGTGTTCTGGGGCGGCGCGCTCCACGCGGCGTGCACGGCCGTCGCGGGCCTCGGCGTGCGCGCGCCGGAGCGCCCGGTCCGCGCCGCGCCGCCGGCGGCGGCGGCGCCGGCGGGCCGGGGCGTCGCGTCGCCGGAGGGCCTCGGCCTCGCCGCGGGCATCTTCTTCGCCGGGTTCACGGCGCTGCCCCTCATGCTCAACAGCAAGATGATGCTCACGGACATCTTCTCGCCCTTCGCCGAGGCGGACCTCTTCGCCGGCGCCGCCGTGGCGTCCTACATCGGCACGATGTCGCTCGCGAACTCCGCGGGTCGACTCACGATCGGCCCGCTGAGCGACGCGGTGTCGCTGCGGGCGGCCTACGCGCTCTGCGGCCTCCAGATCCCCCTGGTGCTGGCGCTGCCGTCCATCGCCGCGGCGGCGCCCGCGGACCCGGCGGCGGCCGCGGCCGCGTGGAAGGCCGCGACGTGCGCGATCCCCAGGGCAGCAAAAGGGTGATTCAACGTCGCTTCAACGGGAGTGTTCCGCGCGCGCGCGTTTCGGAAACAGCACCCACGCTTCGAGAGCGCTCCGAGAGATGATCGCTCGTCCAAAAATCAGCCGAAACGAGCGGGAAACGACCGAGATAGGAGCCTTTGAAGTTGGGAATTTCGCACCCTTTTGCTGCCCAGGCGATCCCGGCGTTCTACGGCGGCTACGTGGTCCTCCTCGCGCCGGCGGTGGCGACGGCCTTCGGCACGGACCGCGTCGGCGCCGTCTTCCCGAAGATCTTCGCCGTGCTGAACCTGTCGAACCTGGCGTCCGCGGCCGTCGTCGGCTCGTTGCGCGACGGCGCGGCGACGCGCGCGGCGGCGGAGCTGGCGGGCCACGTCGACGACGGCGCGTTCCTCGGCGCCTTCGGGGCGCCCAAGGCCGAGCTCCCGGCGCTCCTCGCGGCGAAGACGGCGACGATCCCGCAGCTCGTCGCGCTCCTGCCGGACCGCGCGGCCGTGCCGGACCCGTCGCCCTTCCTCTACCACGACGCGCTCCACGCGTTCGCCGCGACGTCGACGCTCGCCTTCGCCTGCCACGCGGGCGCCCTCGCCTACGCGTCGAAGCGGCCCCCGGGGTCTTAGCATTTTTTAGAGCGGTCTCTCGTGGGCCGCGGCCGGCGCGCCGACCGCGGCGCGCTCGCAGCCCGTCGCCGTCGCGCGGCAGCCCGTCGTCCTGTCGCAGACGTCCGGGTCCAGCACCTCGCCGCAGGCGTCGAACTCCTCCGTGATCGCGCGAAAGACCATGGCGCTGATGAGCATGACCGTGAGCACCGTGGCGATGAGCTGGAAGAGGCCCATCTCCTTGCCGCCGGCGCCGACCCGGGGCTTCCGGCGGGCCGCCATCGAGCGTCTGAAAAGGTTTTGACGGGTTCGGGATGGACGTTGCAGCGCGCGAGTTCCCGAGCAAGCAGGTGCGAGCATCGATGGGCAGCCCTCTTCAAACAAAAGTTCAAGCGCGCAGCATTACAATACTTGCAGCCCTGAGCTATGGCCCGCTCGGGGAGAGTCTGGCTCGCCGCGTGCGCCGTCGTCGCCGTCGCGCAGCCGCTCGCGTTCCGGTCGACGGCGGCGCGCGAGAGCGCCTCGGAGCGCGTCGAGATCGAGCGGCTCCCGGCGGCCGAGGTCAGCGGCGCGCGGCTCCTGACCGAGTTCGTGCTCCGCGACGTGCCCGTGGTCCTCACGGGCGCCGTGGCGCCGGCGACGCTCGCGGCGCTCGCGGCGAAGCCCCGGGGCTGGGACCCGGGCCGGACGCCGGCCTGGTTCGGCGACGTCCTGGGGTCGCTGGCCGCCGCGGCGGACGGGGCCGCGTCGTTCCGCAACGAGTCCACCCGGAGGACGGGCGACCGCTGGGGCTGCCGGGGCAGCGCGAAGCAGTGCCAGGTGGCCTGGTGGCACGCGGGGACCGTGCCGGACCGGGGCCGCGCGGGCGAGGGCGCGACGGTGCACACGGACGCGGTCTGCGCGCCCGCGTGGGCGCTGCAGGTCGCGGGATCGAAGCGGTGGACCTTCGCGAAGCGCACGCCGGCGGAGCGCGGCGTGCCCCTGGGCGACGAATTCTTTAGCGACGTGGTTTATACAACAGACATGGCGCCCGGCGAGCTCATGGTCTTCTACAACGGCTGGCACCCGCGCGCGAATCGACCGCCGGTTCGGGACGTCCCGACCAAACTTTGAAATTCTCGAGCTCGGTCACATCGACGTCGATTCGGCTGATGTTTGGACGGATCGATGTCTCTCGTCGAGTTCTCGAAGCAGAGCCGAAGGGCTTGCGTCGAACCATTCGACTACGCGCGCGGTGAAGTCGGGTTGGAGATTCGAGTCGCGCGCAGGCTGGCACCCGCACGCGACGGAGAACCACTTGGGCGCGCCGTACACGGCGTCGGTGCACGGCGTCCTCGACTTCCCGGACCTGGGGCGGCGGCTCTGGGGCCCGGAGGCCGTCGGCTTCAAGAGCCTGGGCGACCCCTTCGCGACGCCGAGCACTAGGCTCCTCGCCTTCTGCCCGGACGTGCGGCGCTTCGGCGGCTTCGAGCGGCGCGAGGCGCCCGCGCGCGCGTGCGCGGCCGCGGCGTCGGGCCGGCCGGGCAGCGGCGGCGTCGCGCTCGAGGCCTGGGACGCGCGCTCGCCCGTCGCCCACGTCGACGTGGGCTACATGGCCGCGCCGGCGCTCGGCGACGTCGACGGCGACGGCGACCTCGACCTCGCGGTCGGCGACGGCGCGGGCCGCGTCTCCGTCTACGTCGCCGACGGCGGCGCCTTCGTCGCCCGCGGCGCCGTCGCCGGCGCGGACGCCCTCGCGGCGCCGGCGCTCGGCGACCTCACTGGCGACGGCGCGGCGGAGCTCGTCGTCGGCGGCTACGACGGGGCGCTGCGCTTCTTCGACGGCGCCCTCGAGCCGCTGCGGCCGCCGCTGCGCCTGCCCGGCGTCCACCGCGCGGCGCCGCTCCTCCTGGACGTCGACGGCGACGGCGACCTCGACCTCGTCGTCGGCGCGGAGGACGAGGCGTTCCGCTGCGTGCCGAATTTGGGCAACGCGACGGCGCCGGCCTTCGCCGCCGCGGACGCCTTCGTCCTGGCGACGCCCTGGGGCGGCCGGGGCAACACCTGCGCCGTGGCGCGGCTCGCCGCGGGGTCCGTCGCCGGCCAAAACGTCGTCCTCGTCGGCGACGGCCACACGTTCCAGCTGCGGCCCGCGGCGCTCCGGGGCGCCGCGCTCGTCGACGCGGACCTGCGGCCGTCGCCCCTCGCGGCCGTCCGCGACGTCGAGGCCATCAGCGACCAGGCCCTGCTGGAGGTCGGCGGCTACCCGGCGCCGGCGCTCGGCGACGTCACCGGCGACGGCGTCGCCGACCTCCTCGTCGGCGAGCACTACGGCACGGTCCTCTTCTTCGACGGCGCGAGCCCCGTCCTGTCGCCTCCCGGCGGGGGCGGGGACGACGACGACGACGACGCATAAGGCGACGCTGTTAGAGGAGCAGCCGGCCGACGGACTTCCAGCCCGAGGGCGCGAGCTCGACGCGGATCGCCTTGATGCGCTCGCGGTGCCGCTTGACGTCGTCGCCGCTGCCCGGCCGGCTGACGGAGTGGTAGTCCACGAGGAACGGCGGGTCGGACGTGCCCGGCTTCGCGAGGAGGAACTCGACGTCGTCGGTCTGCGTTTTTCCGAAGGGCCCGGAGACCTCGAAGACCGCGCGGACGTAGCGGCCGTCGGCCTTGGCGCCCTTGTCGACGACCGCGGCCCCGGGCTGCGCCTCGATGGCCCGGACGAGCTCCGCGACGGCGGTCTCGACGGACTTGACGTTCGTCGCCTTCATCTTGGAGAGCTCCGTGACGACGGCGCCCGAGTCCTCCGCCTGGTAGACCCAGGGCGGCACGTAGGCCTCCGTGCGCTCGAGCGAGCTCGTCGACAGGCAGCCGCGCTTGATGCCCTGCGGCGGGCACGTGTTGAGCTTGCCGCTCGCGCCCTCCTTGCGCAGCCCCAGCGGGCCCAAATCCATGGGCGTGCTGTCGTCGGCGGCGCTGCCGACGGCGGGCGCGCCGAGCGCGACGCCGGCGGCGAGCTTGGCGAAGGCGCGCCGCGTGGGCACCCGCAGCGCGTCGGCGGCCGCGGCGAGGCACAGCAGCGCGCGGAGGCGGCGGAGCATGCTCTGTGATGGTGGCTGCTGACGGCGCGGCGCTTCAATCTCCACTGATCGATGCATATGGGGCCCGTGGACGCCTCCGTGGGGCCTCCGTGGTCGCAGACGACGCGGGACGCGGCCGCCCAAGCGCACACGATCTCCTCGCGGAACACCAGCCGCTCGGGCAGCCCCTCAGATCAGCGATCCTGCGATCTCGGACATAACCGGCCGCTGGAAAGACACGATCTCGCGACCGGCGTCGACATAAGGGCTTTCCACGACAACTGAGCTAGATTTCGATGCTATGAACATGTCCTGAACGGGGCAGCCGCATCGGACGCCGTCTATGCCCTCGTAATAAGTTCAACCTGAGCTGCTTGCAGATAAGAAGCCGCCTTGTGCGACGATGCCGCAACGAGCGCCTTAGCGCGCAATGCCATCGGATGTGTCGCCTCGCGCGACACATCGCCCTCGCATCACTCCTCACGATCACCGACTCCCTCGAAACAACAAAACACCTCGAGCGCCTCGACGCCTGGCTCACGAACGCCTCCGCTCCTCCCACCCACTGGCGCGTGCGCTCCCCCGACGACCTGGACAATCGCACGGACCAAGCCCTCTCAGGCGGCGCCCGGAAGGACGTCTGGCTTTCGCAGCTGCGCGACGGCCGACGCGTCGTCGTCAAGGCGCTCCGCCACGAAGGCGCGTTCGAATTCGGCGACCGCGCGAGCAACGTCGCCTACTTCGAGCTCCTCTTCCTCGAGGGCCTCCGGGGCGAGCCGGGCATACCGGAGCTGTTCGGCGCGTACGAGACGCCGCCGTTCGACGTCGCCCACAAACCTTTGGTGTGGGCGACGTCGAACGGCGGCGGCCGCGTGGCGACGGGGACGGGGACGCTCGACTCTCACAGCGGCAAGAAGAGCGAGATCAAGTACTCCGAGGTCTACGACGCGCGGGCGCGCGACGCGCCCCTCGACCTCGCGCGGGCGTGGCTGCGGTGCTTTCGGAGCTTCGGCGAACGGGGCGGCTTCGTCTTGACGGATTTCAAGCCGGAGCAGTTCACGCTCGACGCGAACGGCGACATCTACCTCGTCGACGGCCCGGCGCCGAACTCCGGGCCGATCGCCGCGCTCGCGCGCCGCCACTTCACGAAAAAGACGTGGCACCTGGAGCAGGCCGACAAACTCGAAAGGGCGCGGATCTACGTCGAGGGCATCGGCATGCAGCGGCCCAACAAGCCCGAACTCCAGCCGGGCGCCGCGCGGCCCTGCCCGAGCGACGACGCGGGCGCGGCCGTCTGCGCGCTGCGCACGAACCCTGAGCACAACGGGTGCAGCCTCCACCTCCTCGACAAGGGCTCGCCAACGTGCGGCGAACGGTGGCTGAGCGGCCCGGAGGTGTCGGACTGCGTCGACGGCGCCTGCGCGCCCTTCGACTGGCGCGTCCACGTCTACGACGCGGCCGCGCGGGAGTGGATCCTGCCGCACATCATCGCGGTCGCGGAAGACCGGGCCGCGGCCGCGCGGCTCGAGCGGCTCCTGCCGCGGATGATGAGCGAAGACCCGCGCGTCCGGCCGTCGTTCTCCGCGCTGCTCCGGGAGCTGGGCCAAGGAGGCATTTCGAAGAGGCGTGGCGGCTAGGCAGGCCTAGCGCGCTAGCGAGAGAGGTGCCACCGGGCTGAAAGGAATTTAAACAAAAGAGCTCCCGAGTAACCGGGAGGAGGAAGCCATCGTTGGCGGCGGGTCCGAGCGCGCAAACAAGTCTTGGGTCGCGTTGTCGGTAGGAGCGAGGGCGTCATCGCGGCCGAGGTCCGGGCCGCGGTTCGATCCGCCGCGTCCGGTGCCAGCAGTAGAGCCGCCGCACGGCCTGGTCCAGGAACAGGATCGCGCGCTTATCCAGCGCGGCGGCGACGCAGAGGAGGAGTGCGAAACTCAGCACCAGCGCCGCGTCGCCGAGGTGCTGGAGCGGCGGCGCCGCGTCGCGGAACGCGGGAGATTCGTCGCGCGCCGTCGAATCGGCGCGCGCGCCGTCCGGGAGCGGCGCCGCCGCCTCGAGTTTCGGTCGTTCTTCCATGGATGGGCCCGCTAAAGGCTGGGTTCCTGGAGATAGATCATGGTGAGCAGGCCAGCGATGGCTGTCATCGCGAGCACAGCGTGGTCAATCAACTCGTTTTCGCGTTTCTCGGTCAGATCGTCGCTCTGCTTACGCTCGCGCGTCATGATCTCGGCGGACATCATGGTGGCGGAGCTGAGAAGCGTCCTGGTGCGATGCAGTCAGCGTGTGCGCGCGTGTCAAGGTTCGGATGCGGAAGCAGTGGAGAATCTGAATGCGTCTTGTCATCGACGCTGCAAGTTGCCGGAAACAGCCGACTCATGACCTCAAGTGTAGAAGATGCCGCGCGCAGGGAGAAAAATTAGCGCTTCTTCAGGAGCGCCAGCGCGACGAGGCCGATGGCCCCGACGGCCGCGGAGCCCGCGGCGAGCACCGCGGACGGGACCGCGGCCTTCTTCCGGCGCGCGGACGCGGTGAGCTTGAGCGCGGCCTGGCCGCTGGACCGCGCGAAGGTGACGGCGTCGCTCAGGCCCTGGTCGTCGACGAGCACGATGACGTCGCCGTCGTCGTCGGCGTACTCGAGGCAGAGGGTCGCCGCGTCGGCCTCGAGGCGCGCGGCGACGGCGGCGAGGAGCGATTCGAAGCGCTCGTCGGACGCCTGGATGCGGTGCGTCCGGCCCGCGGCGTCGGCGACCTTGAAGACGAACTGGGACTCGAAGGCGCCCAGGGCGCGCACGTCCGACGCCGTCGACGCCTCGTCGTCCTCGCGGACCGCGCGGAGCGCCGCGCGCGCGGGCCCGCCGCGCGGCAGCGAGCCCGCGACGGACGACGCCTCGGACGACGCGTCGTCGAAGTTCTGCGTCATCAGCGTGGACCAGCCCTCGTCGTCGCCGTCGCCCATCGTCGCGTAGACGACCTCCATGACGTCGACGACGCCCACGAGCCGAGTCCCGTCGACGACCGGTAAATGGAGGTACTTGTTGTCGTGCATCATGTGCAGCGCGTCGAGCAGCGTCGCGTCCAAGGAGATCGTGTCCGGGTTCGGCGTCATCGCGGCCGCAAGCGGCGTCGCCGCGGCGTCGAGCCGCTTCGCGGCGACGCGATTCAGCACGTCCTTGGGCGTCAGGATGCCCGCGAGCCCGCCGCCGGCCGTCGCGAGCACGGCGCGCCGCGTCGACGCGATGGTCTTCGCCGCGTCGAGCACGGAGCTCGTCTCGCTCACGAGGCAGTCCGTCCGGCCCCGGCCCAGGACGGCGCGGAGCGTCTTCGCCGACGACCCCGTTAAAGACGCCATCAAAGGCCCGACGAGCTTCGCGAGGCGCTTCTTGTGCCCCGACGCGGCGAGCTGCCGCAGCATGGCCTCGGCGAGCCCCGCGTCGCCGCCGTCCTTGGCCAGGCCCTCGAGCTTCTCGATCTTCTCGATGGCCTCGTAGAGGCAGCGGTGGATGCTGAGCACGCCGACGACGGCGCCGCCCTCCCCGAGCACGGGCAGGTGCCGGAAGCGGTTCGCGACCATGAGCTTCAGGGCCTCGACGGCGCTGTCGGCGCCGCGGACGCACGTGGGGCCCCGCGTCATCACGCGGTCGACGGGCGTCGCCGACAGGTCGAGCTCGCGCGCGACGGCCTTGCGCGCGACGTCGTTGTCCGTGACGATGCCCGCGAGGGCGCCCGCGGCGGACGTCAGGAGGGCGCAGTCCGTGCGCCTCGCCGCCATGGCCTCGCAGACGTCCGCGATGGGCGTCGACGCGTCGAGCACGACGGGCTGCTCGGGCCGCAGCTTCGCGACGGGCCGGCCCTCGCGGGGCTTCTCGGCCTTCTTCGGCTTCCGCAGGGACCCCGCGCGGGACGAGCTGCCCTGCTTCGACGCCGCGTCGGACGACGCGTCGTCGTCGAGCGTCATCAGCGTCGACCAGCCCTCGTCGTCGCCGTCGCCCATCGTCGCGTAGACGACCTCCATGACGTCGACGACGCCGACGACGGCGTCGCCGTCGACGACCGGCAGGTGCAGATACTTGTTGTCGTGCATCATGTGGAGCGCCTCCAGCAGCGTCGCGTCGAGGGCGATCGTGTCCGGGTTCGGCGTCATGACGGCCGCGAGCGGCGTCGACGTCGCCGCGTCCCTGGCGACGACGCGGTTCAGCACGTCCTTGGGCGTCAGGATGCCCGCGAGCCCCCCGTCGGCCGTGGCGAGGACGGCGCGGCGCGTCGACGCGATGGTCCGCGCCGCGTCGCGCACGGACGCGGCCGCGTCCACGAGGCAGTCCGTCCGCCCGTCGTCGAGCACGGACCGGAGCGTCTTCGCCGACGACCCGGCGAGCGACTCCATCAAAGGCCCCACGAGCTTCGCGAGCTGCTTCGGGTTCGCGCCCTTGCGCTTCGCGAGCGCCCTGAGCATCGACTCGGCGACGTCCGACCCCTTGGCCGACGCCTCGAGCTTCTCGATCTTCTCGATGGCCTCGTAGAGGCAGCGGTGGATGTTGAGCACGCCGACGATGGCGCCCGTGTCGCCGAGCACGGGCAGGTGCCGGAAGTGGTTCGACACCATCGAGCGGAGCGCGTCGATGGCGCCGTCGCCGGCGCGGACGCACGTCGGGCCCCGCGTCATGATGCGCTCCACGGGCGTCGCCGCGAGGTCGAGCCCCTCGGCGACGGCCTTGCGGGCGACGTCGTTGTCCGTGACGATGCCCGCGAGCGTGCCGACCGCGGACGTGAGCAGCGCGCAGTCCGTCCGCTTCGCGGCCATGGCCTTGCAGACGTCGGATATGGCCGTCGACGCCTCGAGCACGACGGGCGCCTCGGGCCGCAGCTTCTCCACGGAGCGGCCGCCGGAGGCGCTCGGGACGCTCGCCGACGTCTTCGCGACGGACCCGCGATCGGACGCGTCGTCGCCGAAGTCCTCGGACATCAATGTCGACCACCCCTCGTCGTCGCCGTCGCCCATCGTCGCGTAGACGACCTCCATGACGTCGACGACGCCGACGACGGCGTCGCCGTCGACCACCGGTAGGTGCAGATACTTGTTGTCGTGCATCATGTGCAGCGCGTCCAGCAGCGTCGCGTCCAAAGAGATCGTGTCCGGGTTCGGCGTCATCACGGCCGCGAGCGGCGTCGCCGCGGGGTCGAGGCGCTTCGCGACGACGCGGTTCAGCACGTCCTTGGGCGTCAGGATGCCCGCGAGCCCGCCGTCGGCGGTCGCGAGGACGGCCCGGCGCGTCGCGGCGATCGTCGCCGCGGCGTCGGACACGAAGTAAAAGTCCGCGTCCAGGAGGCAGTCCGTCCGCCCGTCCTCGAGGACGGCCCGCAGGGTCTTTGCCGTCGACCCGGCGAGCGACTCCATGAGCGGCCCCACGAGCTTGGCCAGGTGCTTCTTCGAGCCGCCGGCCTTGGCGAGCTGCGCGATCATGGCCTCGGCGAGCCCCGCGTCGCCGCCGTCGCCGGCGAGGCGCTCGAGCGTCTCGATCTTCGTGATGGCCTCGTAGAGGCACTTTTGCATGTTGAGCACGCCGACGATGGCGCCCGACTCGCCGAGCACGGGCAGGTGCCGGAAGTGGTTCGACACCATGAGGCGGAGCGCCTCGAGCGCGGCGTCGCCGCTCCGGACGCACGTCGGCCGCGCGGTCATGACCGCCGACGCCGGCGTCGCGTCGCAGTCGAGGCCCGCGGCGACGGCCTTGCGGGCGACGTCGTTGTCCGTGACGATGCCCGCGAGGCCGCCGTCCGAATCTGTGAGCAGCGCGCAGTCCGTGCGCTTCGACGCCATGGCGTCGCAGACGGCCGCGAGGGGCGCCGACGCCTCGAGCACGACGGGCGCCTCGGGCCGCAGCTTCTCCACGGTCTTGCCGCCCGTGATGGGCCTCGGCGCCGCGGGCGCCGCGACGACGCGCTTCTGCTTCGCGACGGCGGCCGCGGCCGCGACCGGCGGCGCGGTGCCCCCGGGCGAGTTCCCCCGCGTCGCCAGCGGCGGCCGCCGGCCCAGGCCGGCGAGGGGCCGCGGCGCGCTGAGGTCCGGGCCCCGCGCGTCCGCCGAAACGACGCGCGGCCGCGGCGGCGCCGCGTCCGCGGAGTTTTCCGGCGGCTTCGGAAAAGAATTGGACCGCTTCCTGCGCCGGTCCGCCTTCTTCTCCCACTTGACGACGTCGGCCTGGGCCGCGCCGGCGGACCGCCAGTCCGCGGCGGCGACGGCGGCGGCCCGCGCGGCGCGCGCCGCGACGATCATGGGCTCCGGGTCCGCGTCCAGTTCCTCGAGCTGCTTCTCGAGGTCGCCGAGCGCCGCCTCGAGCCCGGCGCAGGCGGCGAAGTCGCGGTCGCCGAGCTTCCCCTCCAACGAACTCCGCGTCGCCGCGATCTTCTCGACGACCGCGTCGCGCGACGCGCCGTCGTCGAGCGGCTCCGGGTGCGCGTCGCATAAAGCCTTCAGCCGCGCGACCTCGGGCTCCAATGTGGAGCACGTCGCGAAGTCGCGCTTCTCTAAAGCCGCGTCCAGCGCCGCCCGTTTCCCCTCCCACGCGGCCGCGAGGTCCCGCGCCGACGGGCACGTGCGCAGCGTCGCGTCCCGCGCGCGCGCCGCGCGCCGCGAGAGGCTCTCGAGGTCCGCGAGCTTGGCCGCGTCGCGGCTCCGGTGCGACAATTCCAAATCCGCCGCCGCGGCCTCCACGGCCAGCGCGGCCGCGAGCCGCCGGCTCTTGTCGCCGCGCCAGCCGCGGTCGACCGCGCCCGCCAACGCGTCGACCCGGGCCTGGAGCGCCCGCGCGGCGCCGAAGTCGCGCGCCGCGACGGCCGCGTCGAGCGCGGACCGCTCGCCCTCGAGGCGCCCCGCGACCGTCGCCGCGCTCAGGGGCGGCGCCGCGAAGCCGCCGGCGACGGCCGCCGCGAAGGCCTCGACGGAGACCGTCGTCGGCGCCGCGGCGAGCACGAAGCGCCGCGGCACGCACGCGCGGTACGCGGCCTGGAGCATCGTCGCCTTGAGAGTCACGGTGGCCTCGTCGGCGGCCAATTTCGTGAGGCGGAACTTGGCCGCGGACAGCGACGCGGACCGCCGCCGGACGTGCTTCTGGAAGACCGTCGCGGCGCCGGATTTCCGCTCGATCGCCTTTCGGCGGAAGCGGCGGAACGCGACGACGCCCCGGACGCGCGCCGCGACCAACACGGCCGCGGTCCGTTGTTCTACAAACGAGCGCCGCGCCGCGCGCGCGCGCGAAAACGCCGCGACGCGCACGGCCGCCGCCGCGCGCCGCGCCGCGAGCGCCGCCTCGAGCGCGTCGAAGCACGCGTGGCGTAAAAAGACCTTCGACGCGCCCAGCGCCAACGAGCCCTTCCCGAGATCGAGATCCGCGGACAGCAGCGCGGCGACCAGCGCCTCCGCGTCGTCGCGGTGGCGCTCGACGGCCGCGAAGGAGTCGCCCTCGCCCGCGTCGTCCTCGAAGAGGCTCGGCCCGTCGTCGACGGCGGCGGCCGGCGAAAACCGCGGCCCGCCGAGGCACTTGTAGGCCGCGACGAAGGCGCCGTGGGGCAGCCGCACGGCGTAGCCCGCGCGCGCGACGCGGACGGCTTCTAGAACTCCGCAATACCGCAGCTGTTCCACGAGCCGCGGCCGGTCCAGCGCGTCGGCGCCGTTGTCGTCGTTCGGTTTGAGACACCGTATGAAGTGCGGCGTCGTCGCGTCGACGTCGCGGGAAAGTTCGGCTAAAGAAGCGCGGAACCGCGCGGCGACGGTCGTGATCTCGAGCCGCGTCGACGCGCGCTTCCGCGCGGGCGTCTTCAGCGGCGACGGCGCGACGGACGCGTCGAAGCCGCGGAGCGCGGCGTCGACGAGGTAGCAGCACTTGGGCGGCAGCAGCGCCGCGACGTCGCCGGGCACCGCGTCCATGTTTTTGGCGACGAGAAGCCCGGCGCCGTAGGTCACCGTGCCCGCGTAGTGGGCGACGGCGAAGGCCCCGTCGCGCTCCTGGGCCGTGGAGCACGCGAAGGACGGGCTCGCGCCGCACGCGCCCTTCAATTTCCGCGCCAAGAGCGCGGGCGCGCGGTCGTCGTCGTCGTCGTCCTCGGCGTCGCCGCGCTGCTTCGACACGCGCGCTTGCAATAAGCATTCGTCGTCGAGCGTCGCCAGCAGGCTCTTCTTGCCGCCGTCGATGAGCGAGAGGACGGCCTCGTTCGACGCGAAGGCGAAATCCGCGGGGTCCCAGGCGATCTTCTCCCGCGCGTACTCGGCCATCTCCGACTCGAAGACGAAGTCCGTGAAGTGGCGCTGGAGCCGCTCGTTCGTGTAGTTGATGAGGAGTTGCTCCAAAGAGTTGAGCGGCCCCTCGTAGGCCTCGAAGCCGAAGATGTCCAAAAGGCCGATGGAAGCGAAGACCTCGGCCTCGTCGCCCTGGCTCAGGGACGCGTTGCAGGCCGCGACGACGGCGTCGAAGAGCGCCGCGTAGGCGTGCTTGAGCAGCGCGTCGCGCGCGCGGGTCGCCGCGGGCACGGAATTCTTCAGCGTCATGCCGTCGCCGGACACGGCGACCCGACGCTCCACCAAAGCCTGCTCGAGCGCGCCCGACGAGCAGCCGCCGCCCGGCGAGCCCGGCGCGTCGCCCTTGGGCGCGTCGAAGAGCGTCACCGCGGCCTTGCGGACCGCGTCGCGCGACGATTCGGCGACGACGGCCGCGCCCTCCTCCTCGACGAAGGCGACGACGCCGAGGTGCGCGAGCCCCCGCAGCGCGAGAAACAACTCCGTCTCCGCGCTGTCGCCGAGGCCGCAGGCGCGCAGCGCGTCGCGCCGCGCCTTGCACCGCGCGGCGTCGCGCGGCGTCGACGGCGCGCCGGCCGTGGCCGCGGACGCGCGGACGAGCGCCGCGTCGTCGTGGAGCGCCTCGTAGAAGATGTGGTAGCCCCGCTCGCCCGGCGCCCGCGCGACGAGGCGCGTCTTCTCCAGGAGCGTCGTCCGGATGCGCGCGCCCGCGAGCTTGCCGCGGTCGGAGAATTTCAGAGAAATCCACTTGCCGAAGCGGCTCGAGTTGCCGTTGCGCGCCGTCTTCGCGTTGCCGAAGCCCTCCAAAATGGGGTTCGACGCGAGCACGGCGTCCTCGAGGGACGACGCGGCGCCGTCGGCGCACGCGCTCAGGTGCGACAGGTAGCGCATGACGAACTTGGTCGTCTCCGTCTTGCCCGCGCCGGACTCGCCCGAGATGAGCACGCTCTGGTCCCGGGGCCCGCGGCGCGCCGACGGCGCCGTCGCGGCGCGGTAGGCGTCGTCGGCGACGGCGAAGCAGTGGGGCGCGGGCCGCGGCGCCGCGGGGTCCCGCGCGCGCGCCTCGCCGGCCGACCGGTACCGCTCGAGCGCCGCGCCGTCGTAGAGCTGGGGCCGCTCCTTGTAGGGGTTCACGGCGCAGAGCACGGCGCCGACGGCCGTGTAGATGCGCCTCGCCTCGAAGCGGCGCCGCAGCACGTGGAGGATCGCCGGCTCGTTGAGGTGCGAGATGCTCACCAAATCGTCGACGTCCGCGGCCTTGCCCGAGTTGCGCGGCAGCACGGCGGCGGCCGCCGCCGCGTCGTCGTCGAAGGTCAGGTCGCGCTCGCCGCGGTCCTCGGCGCCCGTGACGTCCTCGCGCGTCTCGAGCTGGACGCGCACGACGACGCTCTTGTCCTTGGTCTCCTTGGACAGGACCGTCGCGGGCACCCAGGCGCAGGTCTCGCTGCGGATCCAGACGCGCGCGTTCTCCGCCGCCATGGTCGCGCTTGCGGCGCGTCGACGAGGGTTGCGCGCGTCGAGGCCTCTCGCTCGTGGCCTCCACCTCGACTCGATTTGTTTTGCCACTCGTTTGCCAACCGTTGGGTCAAACTTGCGCACGGCGCGCGAGAATTGGCGCCAGTCGATTCGCCAGTCGCACACCTCGTCCCCACCTGCACGCAGACTTGCACGCAGGCCCAGCCGCGCTAGCTCCCCAAAAGGACCGCCGTACTCAGCGACGATCACCACACACAGGGGGCTTCGCGCCCCTCGTCGCGCGTTCGGCGGCCCGCGCGGCGGCCCGCGCGGTCCGCGGCCCCTAGCGGCCGCCCCGGGAGACGAAGACCTTGTTGCGCTCGGGCGAGAAGCCGCCGTCGTCCTGCTTGGCGTCGAAGCCGAGGCCGTCGTCGTCCTCGGACTCGTCGTCGTCGTTGAGGTCGTAGGTCTTGGCCGCGGGCCGGGCCTTGACCTCGACGACGCGCTGCTTCGCGTAGGCGACGGCGTCCTCGACGAGGGTCGACGTCGGCGGCGCGCCGCCGACCTTGACGACGCCGGACCGCTTGGGCTGCGGCGCGTCGCCCTTCGCGCCGACGTCGACGGTCGCGTCGTCGTCGTCCGCGGCGGCGGCCTTGGCTGAGTGCGCCGCGAAGTGGCCCGGCCGGTCGTCGGCGCCCTTGGAGACGGGCGACGGCGACGGCGTCGCGCAGCCGCGGGACCCCTTGGGCTCCGCGTCCGCCAGCAGCCAGCCGCGCGCGCCCTCGAGCCCCCGGAGCTGCGCCTTCGCGGCGCGCTTCTGCCGCTTCTCGGCCTTGACCTGCTTCGCCGTGGCCCGCATCATGGCGCTGAAGGTCGTGTACTCGCCGAGCTGCATGGCCATGGTGACGAGCTCCTCGACGGACACGGGCAGGAACATGAAGCAGACGACGCCCGCGCCGTCGCCGCCGCCGCCGCCGCCGCCGCCGTCGCCGCCCGCGACGATGCGCCGGAAGTCCGCCGACGCCTGGAGCTGGGCCAGCACCGCGGCGACGGCGGCCTTGTGCCGCTCGCGGTCCTCGTCGATGATCTTCGAGATGCGCGCGTAGCAGTCCTCGGCGGTGAGGAACCCCTCCGTGCGCACGAACTGCTGGAGCTCCTTGTCGAGCTGCTTGCACCAGACCTTGTAGCAGTTGTACTGCTCGAGGGTCTCGCCTTTGCACTCGACGTCGGCCTCCGTGTCGTCGAAGTAGGCGCAGTATTTCGTGATCCAGGGCTTCAGCTTCACGTTCGCCGCGAGCATGGCCTCCGTGACGAAGCGGTGGACGAGGCCCGTGTCGCCGTCGCTGCCCTCCTCGGCGGGGGGCATCTTGGAAGCGCGCGCGTCCCGCGGCCGGGTGGCTGCCCGTTCGGTCGCGCGCACGTGTCCCGCGGCCGGCGGCTGCCCGTTCAAGCCCTCCAACAAACTGATGTCTCGGTCTGGTCCGTTGAATCATGCTTGCCGTTCAATGAATCAAAAACCAAGAAGTCGAAGAGCGCGCTGAGGCTGCTGCCCACCTCGAGCGGCGCCGGCCGCCGGCGCCGGCGACATGAAGCGGACGCAGGTGTCGCCGAGCGCCACCTACATCCTCGACCAGTTCGACGACGAGTTCCCGGACCAGTACAACGCGCTCCACGAGCAGGCGCGCTTCAGCCGGGGCCACAAGGAGTGCGACCTGGCGAAGATCGGCCGCAAGCTCAAGACCGAGCCCGACTTCGGGGAGACGTTGAAGGACCCGAGCCGCCTCATGCGGCGCACGTCCCACGCGGCGCCGCGCGGCGGCGCGGCCATGCAGCCGGCCATCGACCGCCTCCGGAACGACATCACGCGCGCGCGGTCGCGGACGATCGCCGCGCGGAACCAGCGCTTCAACAACACGCCGGCGGCGCGCCGCGCCTCCGTCGCGGCCCACGCGCGGGCCAAGTCCAAGATCTTCGGCGCCCAGGAGAAGCGCATGGCCCACCTGCGCCAGTTCTCCAGGGACCACGAGACCAAGGACCTGGCGTACCGCATCGCCTTCGACAAGTACGACGCCGACGACTCCGGCTTCATCGACGCCGACGAGCTCCACGCGGCCCTGATGCACATGGGCCTGCTCGTGGACCGCGGCGGCTCCGACAAATTATTGGCCAAGTACGACATCGACGGCAACGGCCAGCTCGACTTCGGCGAGTTCAAGGCCATGTCCGTGGACCTGCTCTTCCAGAGCGACTCCGACGGCCTCTTCGTCTCCAAGGAGACGATGATGCGCCAGCTCGAGCGCGCCGACGACGCGCGGACGTCCCTCGCGGGTCTCGATCTGTCGTTCGACGCCGCGAACCGCGCCAAGGTCGCGTGCAAGCCCGGCGAGGCCATCAACCGGCCGCGGCGCGACCCGCTGCGGGACCGCGTGTCCATGCTCGAGACCATGAACATGGACCGCGAGGACGTGACCGTGTCGCGGAACGCGGTCGAGGACGGGGCGGGAAACGGGTGATTCGACGTCGCTTCAACGTGAGTGTTCCGCGCGCGCGCGTTTCGGAAACAGCACCCGCGCTTCGAGAGCGCTCCGAGAGATGATCGCTCGTCCAAGAATCAGCCGAAACGAGCGGAAAACGACCGAGATCGGAGCCTTTGACGTTGGGAATGTCGCGCCCTTTTCCCGCCCAGGTCAAGGAGCGGCGCGCGTCGCTCGCGACGGAGGCGCGCCTCTTCCGCGACGTCGCGGAGACGGCGCAGAGCGGGTCCGTGCCCGCCGCCGTGCTGGGCATGCTCGTGAGCGAGGTCGGCGACGCGAAGACGGACGCGGAGCTCGCGCAGCTCAACGCGTACCAGGCGGGCCTCGAGCGCGCGTCGCTCTCGGGCGTGCGCACGCCCGGCGACCCGACGGGCACGCGGCGCCGGTCGACGCTGACCATGCCGAGCATGAGCCAGCGCCGGCCGTCGACGGCCGCGGCCACGTTCGACCTCGCGCGGGCCGCGCCGCCGGAGCGGCCGGGCACCGCGCCGGCCCAGCCCTACCAGGGCCGCCTCTCGAAGCGCTCGCCCACGCCCCTCTTCGAGCGGCCCGTGACCGCGGGCTCCCACAAGAAGTCGACCCAGTCCGCCGACTTTAAGTGGCTCTAGCTTCGGTGTACGCGGCGAGCTCGGGCTCACACCTCCATCGTCGCGAGCTCGCCGGCCTCGTTCGGTACCTCGGAAAATTCGTCGGCCGTGAGCCGCGCGACGGCGCGGTCCGCGCGCGCGACGAGCTGCGCGTCCGCGCCGCGGAAGCGGGCCGCCGCCGCGCGCGCGAGCTCGAGGCCCCCCGCCGCGATGATCGCCCGGGCCGAGTCCCGGCTCGTGCAGGCGTTGCCGAGCGCGAGGCAGCACACGGACTGGACCAGCGCGTCGCCCGCGTGGCGCCGCATCGCGTCGACGACCGGCGCCACGCCGTCCTCGACGAACTCGCGCAACGCGTCCGCGGCCGTCCGCGGTTCGAAGCCCCTACTCGTCATGGTGTAGGACCGCGCCTTGCCGCACGTGCACTTCTTCTTGGCCTGGCCCTTGCCGTGGCGCAGGCAATTGTACGTCGCGAGGTCCTCCTCGGACATGGGCGCGACGGCCGCGCCCGGCGCCCACGCCGCCGCCGGTCCGTCGCGGGGCTCGACGGGCTCGACCTTGATCGTACCGAGTGTCGGGATCAACTGACGAACGGGCGCAAACGAGGCCTCTGGCGTCGAATGGAAGGGGGCCGTCCCGATCTGCGTCGGCGACGGCGTGCCGGTGCGATGATCACAGCGATCGAGGTCTGACATATTGTAGACCGGTCGCAAGCGTACAGCGGTCACTACGCTTCGTCGACGCTTCGTCGCGACGGCGTCAATACGCTTTGTCGTGGATTTCCAACGGTCACGACGTCGATGGGGCCGCCCGATAGCCGCTTTGAAGCACAGGCTGCTGCTAATACTACTCGATGCGTTTTCGGCGAGCGGATTTTCTGGCCGAGGCTTGTGGCAGCATGGCAACGACTGAGCACGGCCGCTGGCGTACGGCGCTACAAATAGTAGCGCATGGCCAGGCGTGCTCGGCTCTCACGGCTCTGACCGGCGCCACCGCGACGCTGCTCGCGGCGCGCGGCGTCGCGGCGCCGACCAGCTTATCTGCGGGCATGTACATGCTCCTCGCGACGCTCTGGTGCGGCCGCTGCGCGCGCGCCGCGGCGGCAGACACGCGGCACGCGACCGCCGCGCCGAAGCGGACCGCGGTGCGCGAGGCCGGCGCGTGGCTGCTCCTGGCCGTCGTCGACGTCGAGGCGAACGCCTGCGTCGTCCTGGCCTACTCCTACACGACGCTGACGTCCGTCATGCTCCTGGACTGCTTCACGATCCCCTGCGTCATGGTCCTCAGCCGGATCGCTTTGAAGGCGCGCTACGAGCGCGCGCACGTCGTCGGCGCGGGGCTCTGCGCCGTCGGCGTGCTCGCGACGGTGCTGTCGGACGTCGCGCCCGCGGCCTGGGGCGGCCCGCCGCGGAGCGCCGACGACGACGCGCGCGGCGCGCCGTCGCCGCGGCGGCGGCTTGTCGGCGACCTGCTCGCGCTGGGCGGCGCGGCGCTCTACGCGGCGTCGAACGTCGCCCAGGAGCTCCTCGTGAAGGAGCGCGGGCCCGCGCAGCTCCTCGCGCGCCTCGGCGCCGCCGGCGCGCTCGTCTCGTCCTGCCAGGCCGCGGCCTTGGAGCGCGCGAAGCTTCGAAGAGCCGCTTCCGCGATGCGGCGCGGGCCCGCGGCGCCGCTGCTCGCCGGCGGCTACGTCGCGGCGCTGTTTTGTATGTACGTGGGCACGAGCCTCTTTTTCCAGCACGGCGACGCGGCGGCGTTCAACCTGTCGCTGCTCACATCCGACGCGTACGCGCTCCTCTTCGCGGCGCTCGTCGACCGCCGGCTCCCGCCGCCGCTCTACTTCGTCGCGCTCGCCATCACGGCCACCGGCGTCGTCGTCTACCACGCCGTGCCGTCGCCGACGTCCGCCGTCGCCGTCCTCGGCCGCGGCCGCGCGCCGTCCCTCGGCGGGCCCGACGCCGCGCCGGGCACGCGGTCGCCGCTCCTGCGCCTGAACTCGTAAGGGAGCTTTTTACTTTGGGGGGCGGAAGGGTTCACAGGAGCACAGGCGGCAGCAGCTTTCACGACGGGGAGACGGCGGAGACGTAGAGGCACGTGTTGCTCTTGAAGAGCAGGCCCGTGGCGAGGCCCTCGGGGTTGTCGACGCCGCTCCACTCGGGGATGTGGTCCGCGAGGTCGACCATCTCGTGGCCCGCGTCCTCGAAGATCTTCACCATGACCTTGTGAGCCTTCTCCAGGTTCGCCTCGCCGCCCGCCTCGAGGCGCACGTCGACTCGGCGCGACGACGAAGGACACGTAGAAGGCGCTGACGCCCGACCGCGCACCGGCCTCGTTGAGCACGTCGACGCGATGCGCCGGCCGTCGACGAACCCCGCCGGCCAACGCGTCCAAATCCTCGAGGACCGTTGTCGCGCTCCCGGGACGGAGGCCAGGCTAGGGGCTAGGCGAGGCTAAGCTGCTGTTCAACATCGATGTGATTGTTGAACTGCGGATGCCGCTCGAGTGCCTCGAGCAGAGGCGGACAAAGGCCAGCTAGTCGACGCCGAGTGAGCAGCTGTTGGGTTTTGGGGGCACCGTGTCTGCAGGAATGGAGGCTACAGCGAGTTTCATCCTAAGTGGGCTCGTCTACGAATACGACAAGGAGGACCCGACGCGACACACGGCTCGTATTCGCGCGCGGCTGTCGCTTGAACAGCAGCAGTGCTCTTATGACGAGCTCTACGCGCTTTGGGCGCCTTCCGGGATGAGAAAGAAACGAAAGGACGCGCTGAGTTTGGTTTTCAACAGCGGTTGTGCTAATTGTCGTGACTACCTTCAATGGCCTAACATGCTCGCGGCGGCGCGATTACATCCGGCGATCCTCGAGCTGAAGCCCAAAGTGACGCGAGGCTCGAAGACGTTCAACGATAAAATGATGAAATTGCGGTTTAAAATAGAGAACGTCAAAAAGAACCGCGCCGCGAGGCTCGCGCTGCTCGAGTCCGGCGACAGCTACTACGACGTCTGGACGATGCAGGTCTCCGAGGGCGAGGAGCGCTCCGACAAGGCGCGCTACTATGAGCTGCGCACAAAGTCCTGTTGCGAGGTCGCCCTCGAGGAGGGCGCGGACCCGGAGACGGAGATGCCGACGGGCCTGGAATTAACTGAAATCGTCGCGGCCGTGCGCAAACCGCCGTTCCAGCGCGTCGCCGCGCACGAGCGCCGCGCGAACGTCCGCAAGTACACGCGGCAGTACTGCTTCGTCTGCGCGTCGCTCTTCACGCTCAAGGGCGGGCTCACCTACGTCGAGCACTCGCACCTCGTGGAGAGCGGCCTCGTCTCGGTGCGCTCGGGCGGCGGGTGCAAGCGCGGCACGTGCTACGTCTGCAACGGCGGCCTCATCGTGCTGGTCGACCGGCTGCGCGCCCGCGGCCTGCGCATGGCCGGCGCGTTCAAGGTCGTCGACAAGTTCGCCAAGAAGCTCGAGACGAAGCGCGTCTCGTGGGCCGCGTGCCTCTAGGCCGCGCACTCCTCCGCCGACGCGCTCGGGTAACTGTGATGTTGTCTAGCGCGCTGCGTGCGGGTAGCGAGGGTCGGAACTTGGCCCGGCGCGCGCCGTTGGCGCACGAGCGGGGCGCGCGCGCCGACGAGCGACGCCGACGAGGGCCTCATTGAGGTTTTCAGTCCCGGTTTTCAGCTCCGAATCGTGAGTCGCGATCATCATCGCGACGTGGAGGTAGAGCCTCAAGACCGTCTCGCGGCGCCCGAGTCGACGCTCTCCGATGGCCGAAACTCCCCGGCAGCCGTCGGTTCTCGACGGGCCCAACACGGCCGAGATCGAGGCGCGCCTCGACGACAACCAGGCGCGCGCGGCGAGAATAGAGCAGCAGCAGCGCGACCTGCGCCGCGAGCTTCTCGACATCGACGACGACGACGAGGAGGCGCACGCGACCCTCGCGGCGCGGCGCCTGGCGCGGCAAATCGCGGACGCCGGCGACCAGCAGCGGCGGCCCGACGACGACGACGCCGACGAGACGATGGAGGAAGGGCGCGGGGGCGAGACCGAGCGCGACGCGCAGCTCGAGTCGGCGCCGACGGTCGGCGCCGCCGCGCCGCCGCCGCGGGGGCGGGCCGCGTCGGTGGCGACCGTCGACGGGGCCTCCTCGCGCGCGTCGTCGCCGCGGGTGGTCTCGCGGAGCACGTCGCCGCGCGCCACGGGCATCAAAAATTACAGCGCTGCAGCTTCGGCCATGGCGAAACGCGCGGAGAACGTGCTGTCGACGAAGGTGCGGCAGCTGCGCGTGCGCTGCGGCGGCAGCGTCGAGCCGACGCCCGCGCTGTACGTGCAGGATTCGGGCGTGCCCGTCTTCGAGTGGGTCCAGGACGTCCACGGCATCGAGCTCGACGCCGAGGGGTACTGGGCGACGTGGGGGAACTCCGAGGCGCGGAAGGGCTTCTTTGGGCGGATCGACGACGCGCGCCGCGCCGAGCGCGCGGCCGCGACGCTCGAGTGCGACCTCTGCTTGTCCTGCGCCGCGCCGACGAAGGAGGCGGACGGCGGCGTGCTCGCCGGCGCCATCGAGTGCAGCAGCGTATGGTGCCGCCAGACGCAGTGCCTGAGCTGTGTGGCCGAGTCGTCGGCGCCGACGGTCGGCGCCGCCTGGCGCTGGACGTGCGGCTGCTGCCCGACGGGCGTGGTGGTGCCCGCGGACGCCGAGCTCCCCCTCCAGGACGGCGTGCCGGACCTGCTGGCGGCCTGGCGCCCGTCGGCCGCGTTCCGCGACGTCCTCTACGCCGAGGAGACCGACGTCGGCGCGCTGGTGTCGTTCATGGAGAAGGAGCTCCCGTTCATCCAACCTCCCGACGGGTTCTCGCTCCGGCGGCTTGACCACGTCGACATCCTGGTCCGCCGCGTCCGAACCTGGGCCGACGCCGGGCGGCGCCTCGGCGTCGCGGAGCGCGGCGCGTCGCACTTCCGCGTCGAGCGCCTCGTCGCGAAGTACGCGCGCGGCGTCTCGGCCGAGGTCGCCAAGCTCGACGAGGACTGCAAGCGCGTGGCCGCGGCGTCGCGCGCGGCCCCCTCCTGCTGCGAGTCCTGCGCGCTGATGGACACGCTTCTCCTCGAGGCGCTCGAAGAGCAGGACGGCAAGGAGTCGCCGCCGGACGGCGAGGGGCCCGCCGCCGCGGCGCTCGCGAAGGGCGTCGCCGACGCGCTGCGGCCGCTGCTGCCGATCGTGGGCGACGAGGACTTCGAGCCCGACAGCGACGACGAGCCCGAGGACGAGACGTCGCCCGGGGAGGGCCCGCTGGACGCGGACCACATCAAGTACTGGCCCGTGCTTCGCATGTGGGCCTGCAAGTTCTGCAACCACAAGATCCTCTTCATCTTCGACACCTTCCCGAACGCGCGAGCCGTGCTCAAGCTGGCCGTCCAGGCCGCCTACCGCACGCTCGTCAACGCGAATTCCGCCCGCTAAATACATAATCGTATTGACTAGGCCCTCGCGTGAGCGCCGTCCTAAAGTTACCCCTCGCGAAGCCACTGCGATTTTACCCCCGGCCAATGTCCTCGGCTTGTCCCGAGAGCCGTCGAAGCGCCTCGGAGAGCGTGTTTTGCGCCGTGCGCGGCGCCATGTTCCCCGATTCCGTCGCGGAAAAAAACGTAGGAGCGCCGAGCCATGCATCCGACGGGCCTCTCCGCGCGGTGGCGCGGCTGGACGACGCGAGCGGAGCGCGAGCGGTCGTGCTCGAGCAGCGACCTTCGGCGGGTGGCGCCGAACGGGTGCGCAGCTGCGCCATGTCACTCTCCGGCAACAGCTACGCATCGAGGGGTCGGGTATGGTACCACCACGTCCGCGCGGACCGCTGGTCGTCGTCCGCGCGCCCCCGTTCTCGCGCGTCGGCGCGTCCGCGCCGATGCGCGTAATCGAGCCGAGCGGGTCCGATTCGGAGTCGACTCGGGCGTGCCCGTGTGCTCCGAGTGCGTGTTCCCCGTGCAGGCCACGCGAATAGATCGATCCAAGCGCTCGGAGTGCGTGACGCGCGCCATGCACATGTGCAACAACATGGTCGAGGTGTTCGGCCGCGTTCGGCCGAGGGATTCGAGGGCCTGCGCAGCTGCGCCATGTGACTCTCCGGCGACAGCTAAGCATCGAGGGGTCGGGTATGGTACCACCACGTCCGCGCGGACCGCTGGTCGTCGTCCGCGCGCCCCCGTTCTCGCGCGTCGGCGCGTCCGCGCCGAACGAGCGGTGGTCGCCGGGGTCCTTTGGCAGGGCTTTGCGGCCGCGCCTCGACCTTGCTCGAGGCTCCTGCGCCCGCCCTGTCCGCCGACGGTCCCGACCCGCGCCATGGGGTGCGGGACGCTGCAGAGAGCGAGTTTATGGGGCGTGAAGGAGTCGCACGGGGCATGCAGACGTATGGTCTCGAGTCGACTTTCAGGTTTCCGGACAGTACAAACTTAAAGGAACTCGGCTAGATCGCCGGCGACGGCCGGGTGCGCCGTCGACGTCGGCGCCTGGCCCGGGGCGATCGCGAGCGCAGGCCCAACCATACGAACCGCAGCGTGGACTGACGGTCCGTCTTTTTTTGCCCCGGCGAAGTCAGTGCGAAGATACGAAAGGAACCACAATCTTGCCATGAGAAAAGTTTCCAGTGCGAAGATACGAAAGGAACCACAATCTTGCCCATGAGAAAAGTTTCCAGTGCGAAGATACGAAAGGAACCACAATCTTGCCCATGAGAAAAGTTTCCAGTGCGAAGATACGAAAGGAACCACAATCTTGCCCATGAGAAAAGTTTCCAGACCCCTGTCCAGACCACCCGAGGATCTGGCCGTGGAACGGCGTCGCCTCGATGAAGCGCGCCGCGACGTCCGCGAAGTCCCTGCCCGCGACGCAGACCGGGTAGGTCCACTCCTCCGCCGTCACGTCCGCGAAGCCGGCGGCCCGCAGCGCGTCGCCGAGCGGGCCGTCGGGCGCCGCGTCGGCCAGGTTGCAGGGGTTGGTCGGCGGCGGGCCGTCGGGGTCGGGCATCGGCAAACCGCCGGACTCGCGCATGGCGCCGACCATCGCCATGAGGCCCTTGCCGAAGAGGTCGACCTTGGCGGGCGGTTGCCTACAGGGGTTGGATCTCTTTGCATTTCGAGGCGAGGACTTGGACTGGACGCCGGCGGCTGCCACACGGCCGTGACGAACGGCGACCCGGGCTTGAGCACGCGCGCGACCTCGGAGCAGACCTGGGCGACGTCGGGCGTGAACATGAGCACGTAGGTGCCCACGGCCGCGTCGAAGGCGCCGTCGGCCCAGGCGGAGAGGTCCTGCGCGTCCGTCGTGTGGAACTCGACGCGGTCCGCGAGGCCGAAGGCCTTCGCGCGCTTCTCGCCGATGGCCTTGTTCGGCGGCGCGAAGTCCGTCGACACGACGCGGAGGTCCTTCGCCGTTCTCGCGATGGTCAGGCTCGGCTCGCCGCCCGACGCGCCGAGGTCGAGGACGGCCGCGCCGGCGGGCAGGCCGCGCCCGGCGATGTCGGCCGCGACGCGGTTGAAGACCTTTTGGTTGCCGCGCATGATGCCCTAGATGGCGGCGCGTGTTGGCAAGGGGATGATAGGAGAGGAGGCGCGAGAGGAGGCGCGAGAGCGCGCGAGAGCGCGCGAGAGCGCGCGAGAGCGCGCCGGCAAGGGTGGAATCGTGAAGTACCTCCGCGAACTTCGCGAACGGATCCGGCTGCAGGCTGAACGCGCGCCGCGCGAGTAGCACGCACGGCGCCGCGAGGCGCGACGAGAGGATCATTGCGCAAAGCGGGAAGATTAGAAACTGCACCTCGCTTTTGTTGAAGCAACTGATTGACTGGAGTTTCGGTATGGGGCAGCCCTCGAAGAGCACCCCCATGAGCCCGTAGAAGCTTGCTAAACAGTCCCAGCCGCGATGGCGCCGCTGCCCTGGTCCGCGCGGAGCCGCGTCTGCCACGAAACGCACGCGCACAAGAGCCCGCGCGGCCGGCTCGGCTACGCCTGGCCCCTGCGGCGCTTCGCCGGCGACGCGCTGGACGCGGACAAGTGCGCGGCGACGCTGGCCCTCGCCTACCAGGACTACGAACCCTGGCGCACCATCTTCGGTGACGAGCACGTCGCCGACGGCGAGTGGGTCCTTCGAAAACACGTGCAGCTCGCGGGCGCGAGGGACGCGACGGCCTACGTCGTCGACGCGCGGCGCGACGGCGACGTGCTCGCGCACGCCGCCGTCGGCGTGGTCCAGCGCCAGCGCCGGTCGTCGCGGTTCACCTGGGCCGAGAAGGCCGCGAACGGGTTCCTCGGCGCGCCGCTCCTCGGCGCGGCGGCCGTCGGCCGCCTCCTCGGTCACGAGGCCGCCGTCGACGACATCCACGAGGCCGACGTCGCGGCGCACGGCGTCGGCGACCACGTCTACCTCGCCGCGCTCGGCGTCCACCCCGGCGCGCGGCGCCACGGCCTCGGCTCCGACGTCGTGCGCGCGGTGCTCGACGACGCGGACGCGGCGGCCGCGCCGGTCTTTACGGTCTGCGACCGGGCGCTCGCGCGCTTCCTGCGCAAGTTCGGCTTCGCGCCGTCGTCGACGCGCGACGTCGGCGACGGCGTCGTGCTCGTCGGCATGCTCCGGCACGCGCACGTCGCCGACGTGCTCAACCGGTGGGGGTCGAAGCGGCACCACCGGCCCCGGCGACCGCCGGATCCCCGGTACCGCGCGGCGCCGCGGGAAGCGCGCGGGGAGCCCATGGTCCATTAGGGCACCTAGGCGGACCAGCCGGCGTAGGAGCGCGGCGTCGCCCGCACCGCGGCCTCGTCGACCCAGATGGCCTTCATCGGGTAGACGCTGAAGTTCGTCTTTGTCGGCGCGGACGCCCCGAGGGCCATGGTCGCGTCGTCCTTGAACGCGGAGACGAGCGTGATCGCCGTGCGGCCGCGCTGGAGGTAGACCTCCGCGAACGTCGCGTCCGCGAAGATGCGCATCTCGAGACTCGTCTCCGTCGCGAGGAGGCGCAGCGTCGTGTTCTTGCCGCCGCAGCGCACGGCGTGGTCGGCGTACGCGCCGCCCGCGCCCGGGTCGTAGTCGACCGAACATTCGAGATCGCCGACGGTCGCGGAGAGCGTGGCCTTGACCGTAGGCAGCTCGAAGGTCGCGAGCAGCTCGGACGCCTTGGTGACGTTGCCGGGCACGTCGATCGCGTGCGCCCCGTCGACGGTGACATCGTCGTCGACGACGACGGCGGCGCCGCGGAGCTTCGCGATCTCGTCGACGGGGTACTGCTGGAGGAGGCGCGCCGCGGCGTTGAACGTGATCTCGCGGGGCAGCGTCTGCGCCGACTGCGGCGGCACCGTCGCCCAGCCGTAGTTGACGCGGCGGTGCGCGCCGTCGAGGGACGGGTAGTCCGCGTCCTTGGACGCGTAGAAATTGCCGACGTCGATCTCGCGCTGCGCGAACCTGGGCAGGACAAGGGTGCGAAATTCCCAACTTCAAAGGCTCCTAGCTCGGTCATTTTCCACTCGTTTCGGCTGACTTTTGGACGAGCGATCATCTCTCGAAACGGTCTCGAAGCGTGGATGCTTTCTTCAGAACGCGCGCGCGCGGAACACCCACGTTAAAGCGACGTTGAATCACCCTTGTCCTGCGCTGCGCGAACTCGGCCTCCCAGCCCGGCGTCGCGGCGAAGCCGCCGAGCGCCCTCGGCGCGCCCTCCGCGTAGGTGCCGAGCTGCCACCAGTCGCCGCCGCAGGACGTCTTGTGCACGTGCGTCGGCAGCGGCCCGGCGCGGTACGAGTCCTCGAAGCCCGGCGTGGAAGGCGGCAGCTCGTAGAGCGACGGGCACTCGCAGGTGCGCAGGTCCGCCGACTTGCCGATGGTGTACCATTCGCCCGCGAGGAACGCCGCGTCGGAGGCCGCGCCGTAGACCATGGAGTCGTAGGTCCGGAGGCGCCACTCGCCCGCCGACGTCTTCCACGGCGTCGAGGGGTCGCGCTGCGTGTTCTCGACGACGGGGTTGTATCCCGGCTTCGTCCAGTGCACGAGGAGCTCGTCGCCGGCGTAGTCCGCGGGGACGGCCAGCGCGAGGTTCGTGCCGCTGGAGCAGTTGGCCCAGGTCTCCTTCTCGCACAGGCCGGGGTAGATCTGCACGACGCCGGCAGCGCCGCCGGGCCCCGCGCCGTCGACGACGGCGGCGCTGCCCGTGAAGATGGCGCGCGCGTCGTAGGGCGTCGGCTTGCCGTTCGACGCGTCGACGCCGTTCCAGATGGCCACGGGCAGCGGCGCCCACTCGACCAAATTCTTCGAGACGACGTGGCCGTAGTCCGGGCCGCCGCCCGGAGGAATGGCCAAATGAATCTGGTAAAAGTGGTGGAAGACGCCGTGCACGGGGTCGAAGACGGGGCCGTTGGGGTCGTTCTCGCCGCAGCCGTGCTGGTCCATGATGTGGAACGTGGGCGCGTCCTCGAAGGGCTCGCCGCAGAACTCGAAGCCCGGCGCGCAGTCGCCGGACGTGCCGCCCGGCTTGTCGAAGCAGGTCGTGGTCCACAGCAGCTCCTCGGACGCCGCCGCGGAGGCGAGGACGAGTGTGGCCTTCATGGTATTCTTACAGCGAACCGACCGCGAAGCTATTCTTCGCGGCGAGGCAGCCCGAGATGCAGCTAGGTGCAACAAAAGAGGGATTACCGACACTTCCCTGCAAGTTGCAGAGCCAAACGATTGGCCAAAGCGCGCCCACTTGCGCGCCCTGTCTCAGCAACGTCGCGGCGCCGCGGCCGCCGCAGCATCGCAGCGTCGCAGCGCGGCAGCGCGGCAGCGCGGCAGCATGAACGGCTCGCGCAGCCCGGCCCACGACTGGCGCGTCGCGGCGAGCCGGACGCAGGCGGGCCTGCAGGACGACTTCCGTCCGCCTGGCCCGCCGCCGCCGCTCGTGAGCCGCCGCCACGCGAGCGACGGCCGCGGCGGCAGCGACCGGACGCCGCGCAGCGCGAGCGGCGGCCGCGCCGCCGACGACCTCGCGTCCTACGCCGCGTCGGACGCCGCGTCGGACATCGAGCCCGTGCTGCGGCGGCCGCCGCGCGGCGCGGAGCGCGCCGGCCCCGCGTGGACGAAGCTCACGTTCAAGGGCAAGGCGCCGCCGGGGCCGCCGCCGCCCGTCGGCGAGCGCTCGCCGGCGTCGGCGCGGCCCGAGGCGCCGCGGCGCGCGCGGGCCGGCGACGAGCCGCGCGCCGCGCGCGACGGGGACCCGCGGCGCGCCGACGACGACGGCGGCGACCGGCGCCAAAGCCCGTCGCGCAGCGCGGACCGCCGCCCGAGCCCGTCGCGCCGCACGGACCGGCGCGTGTCGCCGTCGCGGAGCGCGCGAGAGCGCGAGCGGCGCCGGCGCGTCGCCGCGGGCGAGACGTCGGAGAGCGAGACCGACACCGACGACCTCTCGAGCGACGACCCGTCGACGCCGCCGCGGCGGCGCGGCGGCGCGCGGCGGCGCGACGCGAGCGACTCCGCGAGCCCCGGCGACGACTCCGCGAGCGGCTCGCCCCTCGAGAGTTCGAGCCTCGCGAGCGCGCCGTCGCCGGAGCGGCGGTCGCCGGCGCGGCGGTCGCCGTCGCCCGGCGCGCGCGCGCCGTCGCCGTCGAGCGCGCGCCGGCGCCGCCGGGCGTCGCCCATGGCCGAGACCGCGGACCGCACGGCGGAGGCCATGGTCCAGTCCTACGCGGAGCTGTCCTGGCTGCGGCGGAGCGTCGACGACGCGCGCGAGAGCGCGAGCCCGCTTCGGGTCGTCGCCGCGAACCCCGCGGAGCCCCTCGTCGCGTCGCCGCGCCGCGCGGCCGCCGCGCCGCCGCCGCCGCCGCGCGCCGCGGTCTCGACGCCGCCGCTCTTCGAGGAGGCGCCCCTCGCGGCGCGCCACGACCTCGACCAGCCCCGCGCGGCCGCGCCGCCGCCGGAGCGCGGCGCCGCCGCGCCGCCGCCGCCGGCCGCCGTCTTCCAGTGCGACCACGCCTGCGGCTTCACGGGCGCCTACGACGCCGTCGCGGACCACGAGCGCACGTGCACGTTCCAGCCCGGGCGGGCGCCGCCGCCGCCGGGCCGCGCGGCGGCCGCGGAGGACCCGCGCGCCGCGCCGCGCGCGCGCGCGCCGCCTGCGCTCCGCGAGGACTACGCGCCGCGCGCGCCGCAGAACGTCGCCGCGCCGCCGCAGCCGCCCGCGGCGACGCCCGCGGCGATGCCCCGGCCCGCCGCGCCGCCGGACCGCGGCGACCCCGCGCGCGCGCCGCCGCGAGACGACCGGTCGGCCGCGGCGCCCTACGGCGACCGGTCGACCGCGGCGCCCTATTCCGGCGCCGCGGCGCCCGACGCCGCGGAGCCGCGGCCGCAGCCGGCGGACGCGGACGCGCTCGCGGCCGTGCGGTCGCTGGAGAAGCGCCTCGGGCGCGCGCGGCGCGACGCGGCGCGCGAGGCGCTCGCCGCGGAGGACGACCGGCGGCGCCTCGAGACGACCGTCGCGTCGCTCGAAACGTCGCACCGCGGCGTCTTCGACGAGCTCCGGAGCCTGCGCGACGAGCTCGCGGCGGAGCGGTCGACGTCGCCGCGCGCCGTCGACGCGGCCGTCGGCGCGCTCCGCTCGCAAATGGACGAGCGCAACGCGGCGCTCGCGGAGCGGCTCGACGCGCTCCGGGGCGCCCTCGAGGCCGCGGCGCGCGACGCCGCGTCGTCGCCGTCGCCGCGCGACGGCGACTCCATCGTCGGCGTCCTCGACCGCAACTTCCGCGAGCTCCGGTCCGAGGCGCGCCGGAGCGCGCGCGGCGCGCCCGCCGCGGAGCCCGCGCCCGCGCCGCCGGACGGCGGCGACGACCGCTACCGGTCCGCGCTCCGCCGCCTCGGCCTCGAGCGCCTCGACCCCCTCGGCGACGCCGGCGCGCCCGTCGCGCCCGGGTCGCCGCGCGCGCCGCCGCCGCCGCCGCCGGGCCCGCCGCCGCCGCCCCGCGGCGACGCGCGGTCGCCGAACGGCGCGAAATCGCCGAGTGGCGCGCGGTCGCCGAAGCCGCGGACGTCGACCGCGGCCGCGCTCGCGGCGCTCACGGACGAGGTCGCGAACCTCCGCACGTTCTTCATCGCGCCGCCGCCGGGCCCGCCGCCGGCGCGCAACCGCGCGGACTCGGACCGCGGCGACGCGTCGCCCCGGGCCCGCGCCGCGCCGCCGCCGCCGGAGCGCGGCCGCGCGCCGCCGCGGAGCGACGGCGCGCGAACCGGAGGCGGCCGCGCGCCGCCGCGCCGCGGCCGCGCGGCGGACGACGACGACGACGACGACGTCAGCGTCGAGGAGGCGCGCTACCGCGCGACGCGGCGCCGCGCCGCGGAGCGGCCCGCGGCGGCGGCGGCGCCGCGCGACGACGCGCCGGCGCCGCGCGAGGCCGGCGACGCGTTCCACCCGGGCCGGGGCCGCGGCATCTCCCACTTCCTCCACGACGACGGCATCGACCTCGACGAGCACGCGAAGCGCAAGCGCGGCAGCCCGTCGCCGTCGCCGGCCGCGCGGGCCGAGCCGTCGCCGGACGGGGCCGAGGCCCGGCCCCGCGGCCGCGGCGGCGCGCCGTCGCCGTCGCGGCCCCGCGGCAGCGGCGTCTTCTACTCCGTCGTCGACGGCGACGCGCCGGCGGCGCCGCGCGCCGCGGACGGCCGGGACGCCGGCCGCGGCGCCGACGACCCGCGGCGCCGCGGCCGGGCCTCGGCGGCGCCGCGGCGGTCCATCGACGGGTCGACGCGCGCGGTCTACGAGGCCCCGCCGGACATGGCGGGCCCGACGCTCGACGACTTCGCGCGCGCGGGCCGGAGCCCGACCGTCGGCGACCTCGCGCCGCCGCCGTCGTCGCGGTCCGCGTCGCGCGAGCGCCGCGGCCGCGACGGCTCGGGCGGCGCGCCGCCGCCGCCGCCCGCGGCGCCGCCCCGCGAGACGCCGAGCCCGGCCCGGGCGAGCGGCCGCTCCGGCGCGAGCCCCGGGCGGACCGCCCGCGCCGCGCGGGACGCCTCGGAGCCGCGGCCGCCGCGGCGGCTCGCGCTGAGCCCGCCGGACGCGGGGCCGCGCGCGCCGCCGTCCGTCGTCTCCGTCGCGTCGGAGCCCCGCCGGTCGACGCCGTCGCGGAGCCCCGGCGACGCCGCGTCGGCGCGGAGCCGGACGCCCGAGAGCGCGGCGGAGAGCCGGCGGACCTGGTCCGAGCGGTCCGACGACCGCCGCGGCCGCGACCGCGGCGGCTGGCACGCGGAGAGCCCCCAGTCCCTCTACACGGCGACCTCGGACCCGGACCTGTCGCGGAGCCTCGGCCGGGGCGCCTCGGAGCCGGACACGTCGCGCCGCTTCGGCCCGGGCTACGAGGACGCGCGCGACGAGTCCCCGCGGCGCCGCGGCCGCGGCGCCTACCCGGCCGGCCGCGGCGGCCGGAGCCCCGAGCGCCGCGGCCGCGACGCCTACCTGGCGGGCCGCGACGGCCGCGGCCGCGGCGGCCGCGGCGACGCACGGCGTTTTGGGAGGGCTGGTGACGACGACGGCCGCGATCACGGTGGGACGTCGCGGCACTTCGCGAGACCCGACGACGACGACGGCCGCGGCGGGAGCTCGCGAAGATTCGGCCGCCGGGGCGACGACGACAACGGCGGTTCTTCGAGGCATTTCGGGAGGCCCGGCGGCGAGGGTAGCTACAACGAGAGCTCGAGACATTTCAGGAGGCCCGGGGACGACGACGGCGGTAGATTCGGCCCGCGGAGCCACGTCGACGGTCGCGGCTCGAGGGCGAGACCAGAGGACGACGATAGGTACGGCGGGACTTCGAGGCGCTTCGGCCACCGGGGCGACGACGGCTACGACGCGAGCTCGAGGCGCTTCGGCCACCGGGGCGACGACGGCTACGACGCGAGTTCGAGGCGCTTCGGCCACCAAGGCGACGGCGAGGACCGCGGCGGGAGCTCGAGGCGCTTCGGCCGCCAAGGCGACGACGGCCGCGGCGGGACGTCGAGACGCTTCGGCCGCGGGAAAGAGGATGAGGACGACGATTACAGATCGAGGCGCTTCGACCACCGCAGCGGCGAAGAGGGCGACAGATCGAGGCGCTTCGGCCACCGCGACGACGACGACGATTACGGATCGAGGCGCTTCGGCCACCGCGACGACGACGACGGTTACGGATCGAGGCGCTTCGGCCGTCGGCAACGCGACGACCATCCGCGGCGCGACGGGAGCGGCGACGACGACGACGCCCACGGCGGCGCGTCGCGCCGCTTCGGCCGGGCCGCGCGGGCGGCCGACGCGGCCGCCGCGCGCGTCGGCGCGCGCGCGGACGCCGTCGCGGACCGCGCGCTCGCCGGCGGCGCCGCCGCGGTCCGCGGTCCGCCGCCCGGGCGCGACGTCGTCCTCGGCGCGCGCGCCGCGGGCCGCGCGTCGCCCGAGGAGGCCTACGCGCGGTTCACGGCGCGCCGGAGCCCGGAGCGGGCCGCGACGAGCCGCGACCGGTCCGTCGACCTCAAGCGGTACGCGCGCCACGCCGACTCGGACAGCGACGGCGAGCACCGGTCCGTCGCGGCGGCCGAGCTGCTCAACGAGGCGACGGCGAGCGCCCTCGACATGCGCGGGGCGAAGATGGGCGTCCTGGGCGAGGTCCTCGAGCGCGCGGAGGCGGACGCCGCGGCGCTCCGGCGGAAGCGGCAGGCGAAGCTTCTAGCGACGGAGAAAGAGCTGGCGTCGCGGTCGGCGCGCGTGCTCGGCCCGGCCTGCGGCGTCGTCGGCCCGGACGGCCGCTCCGCGACGCTCGTCGCGCTGGAGGCGGCGCACGCGGCGGCGAAGGCCGACGGCGCGGGCGAGCGACACACGTTGGTCGCGCTCCTCGGCGACGAGATCCGCCTCCAGGAGAAGCACGAGCGGCGCCTCGCGGCCCTCGACGACGACCTCGACGCGGCGAAGGCGCGCGACGACTTCGAGCGGTGCATTCTGTTGGAAAAGGAGCGCAAGGAGGCCGTCGCGTCGCGGCGGGGGTTACTCGAGGCCATCGCGGTCGCGTCGTCGGAGCGGTCGCCGCGGCGCGAGCTGGACGTGCTGGAGGAGGAGCTGGTCAACAGGCGGACCGCGGCGGACCTGGCGACGGCGGCCCCGAAGCCCAGGCTCAAGCGCCACGAGGACCCCGAGCCTCTCGCGGAGGAGGTCGCGAGGTCGAATCTCGTCAAAGCGGGGCCGCTCGGCGTCTTCGACGAGGCCACGAGCGCCTGGAGCTCGCGGGACGTCGAGCTCGCGACGGACCCGGCCGACGCGACGTCCGCGTCGCTCTACGTCTACGACCGCGACGGCCCCCCGAGGGTCGTGCGCGTCGCGGACAGGGCAGGAAAAGAGTGCGAAAATCCCAACTTCAAAGGCTCCGATCTCGGCCGTTTTCCACTCGTTTCGGCTGACTTTTGGACGAGCGATCATCTCTCGGAACGGTCTCGAAGCGTGGATGCTTTTGTCGGAACGCGCGCGCGCGCAACACTCACGTTGAAGCGACGTTGAATCACTCTTTTCCTGCCCAGGTCGCGGACGTCGTCGCGCTCGACGCGCCGCGGAAATCGCGCGACTTCGAGATCGCCACGGACGACGCGACGTTCCACCTGCGGGCGCCCACGACCAAGGAGCGCGACGCCTGGCTCGCGGCGTTGGACCCCTTCCTCCCCGCGGAGCGCGCCGACGACGCGGCCGACGCGCCGCCGCCGGACGCGTCGCTCGCCGTCGCGGCCAAAAAGATGAACCACGCGCGGCGAGGCACGACGCCCGAGCCGGAGCCCCGCCGCTTCGTCGTCTGGGAGGAGCGCCACGACCCGGCGTCGGGCCGCGCCTACTACTTCTGCCCCGAGACGGGCGTGTCGTCCTGGGAGATGCCCGCGGAGCTCGCGAAGGCCGCCGCGGCCGACGACGACGCGGACGACGGACGGCTCAAGCGCATGCTGTCCCAAGCGCCGCGGCGCGCGAGCCACGTCAACGAGTCGCTCAACCTCACGACGCAGTTCGAGGCCGACGCGTGGGAGGAGCGCGCGGACCCCGCGACCGGCCGGAGCTACTACTTCAACGCGCAGACGGGCGAGTCGACGTGGTCCCCGCCGGCCAACGCGCTCATCCGGCGCGCGGCCTAATTCTGGCGTCAACGTTCTAAAGGGGCCCGACGACGGGCGCGCTCGCCATCTCCCACGCGCGGCCGGACGCGGCGACGACGTCGGCGCAGGTCGAGAAGAGGGACACCTTCGTCGCGGAGGCGTCGTCGTCGTCCCGGAACGTCGTCACCGACGCGCGGCCGTCCGCGAAGGCCTCGACGAGCGCGTGGTCGACCAAGACGCGGAGCGCGAGCGCGTCGCCGGCCGGCGGCAGGACGAAGGGGCCGCCCCGCCCGTCGAGCGCGAGCGCGGCGTAGGACTCGGAACCCGCGGCCCCGTTCTGGAATTCCTGTTCCAGGCGGCTTTCGTTGGACCACTCGTCGCCTTTGCGGTTCGCGACGATGATTCGTAGATCGTCCTGGACTCTGACGCCGAAGGAGCAGTTGTCCCCGCGCGACCACTCGGCCCAGGTGCGGCCGTCGGCGAGCGCGAACGTCGCCTCGACGTCGAGCTGCTGGAGGCCGTCGACGAGCGTCGCGTCGACGGCGTCGACGGCGTAGGCCGCCGCCGCCGACGCGTTCGGCGTCCGCAGCAGCAGCGCCTCGCGGATCGGCCGGAAGCGGACCGCGCCGTCTTCGACGGTAAACTCGCGGGGCCACACGTGCGTGTTGGTCTTGCCGCCCACCCATGCCATGTAGATGCGCCGGGCGTGGACGGGGTCCCACATCGTGGACCCGGCGAAGGCCGTGCCGTAGTCGACGGGGTACAGTTTCGCGGCGCCCGCGACGGACTCCGCCGTAAAAACGGCGGCGCCGTCGTAGCTGCCCAGAAGGACGTGGTCCGGCGGCGGCACGGGTTTGCCGCCGGCGGAGAGCTTGACGACCCACGTCGTCTCGTTCGACGGCTCGGGAGACGACGGCCCCTGGACCGGGAAGAAGTCGGGGCCTACCAAGTGCGACGGGGTCGGATTTCTTCACATCTTCAGGCGAAATTCACGCAAAAAAACACTCCTGTCGCTCGACGCTGGTCCGGGCAGAAACAGGGCATTCCCGGCCAGTTCTTCGCGTCGCGCGTCGCGTCGAACAACGGCCGCGCGTCCTCCGTCCAGTTCGTGAAATCGGCGCTCGAGTAGGTGGCGAAGGGCGTCGCGCCGTCGACGGCGACGCCGCCGCCGCGCCAGCCCGCTTTCGACCGCCAGATGGGCAGCGCGTCGCACGTCGCTTTCGGGAAGAGCACGCCCCGCTTCGTCCAGTTGCCGGCGACGCCGTCGTCGGCGACGGCGACGGCGACGCCCGCGGCCGTCGGCGCGCGCGAGGACCGCGCTCTGTAGGCCATGCCGACGCGGCCGTCGGGGAGCTCGAAGCTGTTGCCGCTCCAGACGCCCGCGTCGTCGTAGAGCTCGTCGGGCTCGAGCACGGCTCGCGGCGCCATGGTCCAGTGCAGCAAATCCGGCGACGTCGCGTGCGCGATCTCCGTGTAGGATGGCAATCGTCGATGCTGGAAGAAGAGGTGGTACAGGCCGTCGATGTAACGCGGGCCATTCGGGTCGTTGACCATGTCCGTGCTATTGTCCTGCAAGAAATTGAAATGGAACTGCGGTCTTTCGTCGCCGCAATGGGCCAGGGTCCACAGGCTCGCGAAGAGCCAGGCTCCGACCAGCATCTCCGAGCGAATCGATGGGCTGCCTTCGACGTGGAAACAGCCGACCTTGCTTCGTTCTTGAACAGTCTTGCCTCAAAAATCGAGGCGAGCATGTGGTCGATTTGATCGCCCCTAATGACCCGCTAGCGCACCGCATCGCTGCAACGCAAGCACCGCAAGCCATGCCGCGCCTCGCGCGCGTCGCGCTCCTGCTCTGCAGCTTGGTGTCGTCGCAAGACGACTGCGCGGCGCCCGCCGACATCGCCGTCTTCGACGACGTGCTCAGCGACGCCGCGCTCGCCGCGCTCGACGCCGTGCTCAACACGACGCGGTCGCGCATGATTCGCATCGCAGCGCCGCCCGACGACGTCGCCGCGCGGACGGCCGCCGCCGTCGCGGCGAGCTTCGGCGAGCGCGGGCTGCTCGAGGTCTGGTCGCGCGACCGCTACGATCCCTCCGTGGCCTTCCACTTCGACATGGACGAGGGCCTCAACGATCTCGACCTCGTCGCGCCGCCGGCGACGCTCTACATCTTCTGCGTCGACCACGACGACGACCTCGCGGCGCCGACGACGATGGTGCAGCCCGACGGCCTCTACGCCGTGCCGGTGCGACGGAACCGCCTCGTGCGCGCGCCGGGCGCGACGCTCCACGGCGTCCTCGGCGGCGGCGCGCGCAAGCGGCGCCGCATGCTGCTCTTCAACGCCTGGCCCGACGTCGACCGGCCGCCCGCGTCGTCGCTCCGGGACGTCGCGCGCGGCGAACCGTCGGCGCCCGCGGACGTCCCGGGGACCGGCGGATCGCCGCGGCCCTTCGTCGACGTGCCGGCGGACCCCGCGGCGCCGCCCTTCCACGTGCGCATGATGAACCGCGAGGCCAACGGCTGCGACGAGACGCTGGCGGGCGTCGCCTGGCCCTCCGACTCGGACATGGCCGCGGACCGGTCGCCGCGGCGCCTCGCCTTCGACGCCCCCCCGCTCCGGGCCGTCGCGCCGGCCGTCGGGCGGCGCTGCGCCTGCGACGCCCGGGGCGCCTGCGCGACCGTGCCCCTGCCGCCGCCGGGCGTCGCGGACGGCGCGTGGGCGGAGCTGGCGCGGGGCGCCGCGGACGCCGCCGCGGCGCGGCTCGAAGCTTTGCCGGCGAGCGACGCCTACGCGCACCTGCTCCGGGGCCGCCTCGCCGTGCGCGCGGCGGCCCTCGCGCGCCGGCCGCTCGGCGAGGCGAGGCAAGCGCTGGCGGACGCGTGCCAAACCGTCCCAAACGCGACGTTCTACGACCACGCGGCGGAGGCCGACACGCTCGGGGCCCAGGTCGCGGCCTGCCGCCGCGACGTCGCCCTCGTCGACCGCTTCATGGCGCGCGGCGCGGAAACGGGCGGTGCGACGCCCATGGCCGTCGAGGACGCGAGTACGTTGACCGTCGAGCGGTTCGAGCGGGAGTACGCGAAACCCCGCGTGCCCGTGCTCATCCGCGGCTGGTCCCTGGACCTCACCTGGGACTCGCTCGTGCGCACATGCGGCCACCTGCGGCCGCCGCTGCGGACGCGCGGGACGTCGGACGCCTGGGCGGGGCTCGAGTACGCCCGCGGGTCGAACGGCCGACAGGGCCCGAAAACGCTCGCGGACGTCGTGAGCGGCGCGAAAGAGGGCGGCATGCTCCACGAGGGCGACGTCTTCGACTGGGACGCGACGAGACCCGGCGGCTGCGGGACGCTCCTGGAGACGCTCGTCGTGCCCAAGTACTTTTCGGGCGCTCTGGGGTTCTTCGGCCCCGGCCTCTTCGTCCAACGGAACGCGTCGGGCGGCGGGCCCCACGAGGACGCCTTCGCGACGAGCTTCTGGCAGTACCTGGCGGAGGGCCGCAAACGGTGGCGCGTCGCGGCGCCGGGCGCCGCGAGCGATTTGTACGCGACGGCGAGAGACTGGGCCGACGCGCACTTTCCGGACGTTCGCTGCCCGAAATCGCCCTACGCGCGCGCCTTCGCCGGCGGCGACGCCGCCGACTGCGGGGCGCCGCGGCCCGCGGAGCTCCTCGGCGACGTCCCCGGTCTCGCCGTCTGGGAGGCGGTCGCCGAGCCCGGCGACCTCGTCTACGTCCCGCCGACGGCGCCGCACCAGGTCCGCACGCTCGCGCCGTCGCTCGCGCTGTCCATGAACCGCCTCGAGGCGGCGGCGCTGCCGGACGCGCAGGCGAGCCTCTACGTCGCCGCGCCGGAGAGCGGCTTCGGCTACGCGCGGCCGCGGCACGGGCGGCCGCCGCGCTGGTTCGAGGCCGTCCCGTTGGTCGCGAAGCACCCCTGGCTCCAGACGCTCCGGGGCACGCTGTCGCGGCTCCAGGCCCACGGCGAGGGGCTGGCGGCGCTCGCGGACCGCGGCAAAGCGGCGGAGCTCGCGGGACGGCCGGGGCTGACCTGGGGCGAGTTCGCGTACTACAAGGGCGTGGAAATCTAAATTCAAGGCCGCGTGCGCTCCTGTGCATGCGGCTCCTCCCACGTTAACTACCTAATAATTGGTGTCCACGAGGCTGGAAGCGGGCGAACCGGTGCCAGTGCGCTCTCGGGAGCGCGGCCGTACGAAGGAGGGAGCGCGCGGTCGTTACTATAGTCGCGCGCGCCCGGGAGACCGGCGCGGGAGGCGCCGCGGTGCGTCCGCGCGGCGAGCGAGGGTCGGGCGCGCGCCCGGCGGAGGGCCGAAGCACCCCCGCCGGGACGCGCGCCGTCATGGGTTCGCGTCGCCGCCGCGGCCGCGCTTCCGCGGCGCCGGCCCGGCGCGGTCGGGCCGCGCGCCTAGGCGCTGAGGCCCTTGAGGACGTTGATGCGCTTGAGGAGCCAGGCCTTCTTGTCCGGCTTCATGGCGGAGCCCTTCATGCCCTCGAGGCGCGTCGCCTCCTTGGCGATGGCGTCGGCGCCCTTCTCCGTCATCTTGGCGACGTAGGCGATCTCCTGGTCGTCGCAGCCGCTGTTCTCCGGGTCCTTGGCGTCGCACTTGGGGAGCATGTTGTCCTCGACGTGCTTCTGGAGCGCGGCGAGGTCGCGGCCGCCCTGATAGGGCGACGCGCCGGCCATGTCCGCGCCGTCGGTCCAGTACTTGATGGTCGGGTAGCCCGACACGCCGGCCTCGCTGCAGAGGTCGTTGTGGACCGTGCAGTCCACGTCGCCGATCAAAACCGAGGGGTGCCCATCGTACTCCTTCATCAAGGAGTCCCACGCCGGCTTCATCGACTTACAGTGCCCTCACCAGGGCGCCAGGAACTTGACGAAGGCGTTCTTGCCGCTCTCGAAGACCTCGGTCTTGAAGTTGTCGGCGTTGAGCTCCATGGCGCCCGCCGACGCGAGCAGCGCGAGCACGAGCTTCATTGTGTCGTCCGCGAGCGGCTCAGCCTCCACCTGGCTCCGGCAGCGGCACTCGGCGAGCTCCGTCGACCTCAAGGATGGGGCCGATCTTTCGCAAGAGTTTGCAAAAGACACAGTTCCGGGCTGGGCGTTCTCGTTCGGACTGCAGTCGGTGTGGCGCCGCCCCGCGTCGCGGTGTGACGTCGTCGCGCGACGACGACTCCCGACACGCGCGGGGCCGACGCCGGACATCCCGCCACCAAAGGGGCCGCCCCTAAAAGAGAAGTTGCCCGCCGCCAAAAAGAGCATGGGCTGGCTGCCCGACGGCGACGACGACGACCTGTCCTTCGAGACGACGCCCCGCGGCCCGCCGCCGGGCCCGCTGAAGCCGCTGCCCCCGCGGTCGACGAAGCGGCGGGCCGTCGTCGTGGACAGCGACCTGACGAACTTCGCGGGCGACTTTTGGGGGCTCGCGTATTTGCTGAGCTCCAAGGACTGCGACGTCGTCTACGTCATGGCGTCCGGCGGCGACACGCGCATGAAGATGCGCATCCTCTCGAAATTCCTCGCCCACTGCGGCCGCGAGGACGTCGAGGTCGGCGCGGGGCCGCCGGGCGCGGAGCCCGGGTGGCTGGCACCCGACGCGCGCGGGTCCTACCGGCCCGCGGCGGAGTGGTCCGAGGGCTGCGTGCCCCACCCGGTGCTGCGGGACTGGGCGAAGCACTACGACGACTCGCGGCACCTGGCCCGGGGCCAGTTCTACGACCCGGTCGTGCGGCTCCGGGATCGGCTCGACGCCGCCGCCGCGGCGGGCGCGCCCGCGACGGTCGTCTGCCTGGGCTCCGCGGAGACCCTGCGGCGCCTGTTGGACCTCGACGCCGACGCCCTGAGCCGCGACGGCCGCGACGTGCGCGTCTGCTGCCGCTTCGGGAGCCTCGACGGGTCGCGCGCGCGGGCCGCGCGGCCCGAGGCCGCGCGGCGCGTCTTCGCGGCCGTGGGCGACGTCGTCGTGCTGCCCGTGGACGCCTGCGCCGCCGAGGACCACACGCCGACGGGCCAGACGTCGCTCGCGAAGCTGCCGCCCTTTTTGTGCGGCGACTCGCAGATTTCGCTCGCGCTCGCGCAGGTGCAGCTGGCCTTGACGCACGTGTGCCGCGCGGACCCCTGCCGCGACTTCCTGGCGGGCGCCCTCGCGGCCTTCCTGGGGGCGCCGCCGGACGAGGACGCCCTCGAGCTGCTCGTGCGGCGGTCCGACCCGGCGGCGCGGTGGGACGTCGACGGCGCGGGGCGCCTCGCGCCGTCCGACGGCGGCTTCGCCGTGCGCGTCGTCACGGGCTGGGCCGACGACGTCGCCGCGGAGACGCTCCGGGACCTGCTCGTGGGCCTCGTGGCGAACGCGGCGCGCGTCCGCGCCGCCAAGGACCGCGCGCCGCCGTCGCGCCGCGAGAAGCCGCCGCGCGCCGCGACGGCGCCGCCGTCGCGCCGCCCGAGCACGTCGTCCTCCGTGTCCATGGCCTGGACGTCGCGGAGCGCCGCGGCGACGACGACGACGTCGCGCCGCCCGAGCACCGCGACGCTCCGCCGCTGGCAGCCGGGCTTCCTCGGCGAGAGCGACCCCATACCGAGCTTCATGTGAGCGCGGTAACTACGCATGTGTACGACTAGTCTTCCTTTGTTAGCCTGGCGCGCGCGCGCCGACTCTGACAATGGGCCGGCCGCTGAGCTTTGAGATGAGTTGGCTGCCTCTGCTGGCGTCCTCGTCGCCCTTGGCGGCCGCGCGGTCGAGCCACCGCCGGGCTTCGACGAAGCCTTCGTCGGCAGCACCTGGCCCGTGTTGCATGAAGTCATTGAAGATTTGCATGCCAAGGTTGGTTTCTGCGTTGGTGAAGCCCTGCTCTGCGCTGAGCCTGAGGTAATGCGTGGCCTCCTCAAGCCTTTGGTCAGCTTTCAGCAATCGGGAAAGGCCGAATTGCGCGCACGCCTCACCTTTGTCCGCGGCCATGCGGTATAATTGCTCAGCCTTTTTCTTGTCCAACTTGACGCCATCTCCGTTGTCGTACAGATAACCTAACTTCAACATTGCGTCCACGTTCCCGAGCTCCACGGCGCGCTTGTAAAGTTTCGCGGCCTTCTTCGTCGATTTCACGACAGCGCTGAAACGATCACCATGGCAATACATGTCTCCCAGCTGTGTGACGGCCTCTGGCACATCGTTGTCAGCGTGTCGACGATACATCGCCAGTTCGGCCTTTTCGTCCTTCGGCGGCGGCGCCTGACAGAGAGCACATGGCCCATGGAAGTCCCTCTTCATCGAGGCGTGCATGCAC